CCAAAAAAAAAATGGTGATAAAACGCATTACAAATAAAATAAAAAAGATGCTTAAATAGGTGAATGATTGTTGAAATCAAATTTTAAGGTCTTTTGTCTTAGAATTTGTGTTAATAAAAATAATTATAGATTCTAAAACATTATGAAAATCATACATATTTTATAATATTTTAATAAAACTCGATAATGTGAAATTAAAATCAATATCGCATGACCTAATTTACTTACTATCCTTGCTACTAATACAAATAAATTGGCACGAACATAGCACAAGGATAAGCCATAGGATATTAAATGAACTAATTTTGATAGAATGGCATTATAATTTGCATATTTAACTCTTTAGGGACTTATTAATAACTTGTTTGAAATGAAGATTCTTATTTTATTGGATTAATTATTTATATTTCTTATTTTTCCTCAGAATCTTTGGATCCATTTAACTTTTATTTTTTTTCTGGTACTATGTAATATGGATTTTTAATATTCAGATATTTGTTTCTTAAGTAAGAATAGAATCTGTTTTTGATGCTATTTTCTGATCTTTTGTTTAAGTGTTTGCTAATTTAGCTCCATTTACCTCCAAGTTTTTTGTAATATTCTACTACTATTTCATCTTCTTCCTTTGTCCATGGTTCATTATTAATATCTGGATGAAGTTAATTAAGATAATGTTCTCTAATTTATTTTCCAGTTCTTTATGGAAGAAAAGAACTAATTTTACTCCAATGATAACCAAATTTAGAAACCAAGTCAATAAGTTTTTGATTTTCTTCTTCAGTCCATTGTTTTCTTAACTTGAATCCTTTAATTCTTTTCCATCTTTAAGCACATTAAGATGGATTTCTTCCATCTATTCTTCTTGCCACCTCAATCCAATCTAATTTGTTTTTTTTTCTAAGTTCTGTCAATAGTTAATCCTCTTAGGTGGTCCATGGTTTTCTTTATGGTATTGGTGTATTTGAATATGATGATGATATTGACATTTATTTAATTTCTAAAAATTAGAAGTATAGAGGTTATTAATATGAATTCAGTTTTTTCTTTTATTCAGTTATTTCAAACCATCATCATTTTAATTTATAAAAAGTTTATTAAAATCTTACTTATTTACAACATCATTTGATAAATATAATTTAAGTTCTCATTATATTATAACAAAACCTACCTCTAAATATAGATATCAGCTTTTTATCTTAATATTTTTACATTCAACTTAGATTTTATTTTGAATTGATTTTTATTGCTTAATTCTGAAAATTATCCTCAATTTTACATTTCAGACTCTATTAAGTAGTGTTTAGGAATATAAATAAATAAGATAGAAATAAAGGTTGAACGAATAATATAAATCTACATACAAATTCCTACTTTTAGTTTATAAAACATTTAATGTTTTTGATATAGGTTAGTGCTATTGATAAAGTCTATGTATTTATGTCTTTAGAAATGTTTCACTTATATTATTTCCATTTTTTAACTTCAGTAGTCAAATATGTATAAATTTTTAAAGTACTTAAAACGAACTTAAATAAAAATTTATGCTTTATTTCTAACTTAAAAGAAGGAATTAATATAACTTTACAAGTTCTTGATTAAAAAATTACAAAAAAATGCAATAAACTGATATTTAGGACTCTTTAAGTTGATGTATTATTTTAAAAACACTTAATAAATTTTTTTTAATCTTTATTTCATTGACATTTATGATGATCTTGATTGAATTAACTTAATTTGGATGTACTTTATTGAAATTTTTGAAAATTATGTTTATTAAATAGTAATGAATTATTTTTTTCATAACTACTTTCCATATAAATATTATTTGATCAATAGAATAAAATAGAATCATAAATATTATTATATGGTATAGATAATGAACTATTTAAAAAGGAATAAGATCAGATTAATTTACTTTGAGAGTATTTATAAAAATTTGAAACATGTATAATTAAATCTCATTATAATAAAAGTATATTAAAATATATAAATAAAAAATCTATGTTTTTTAATTCAATTCTGAATAAAATTAGGAGATTCAAGTAAATGACATTTATCATCTATTTGAACTAAATCAGGTTCATCTTTAGCATGAATACTATTAGCTTTATTTGCTGCAGCTGCTGCTAAAAACATTTCTTTATTTTCAAAAGAAATATAAACATTGCTGCTAAGTTTTCTTTTTGTGCTTAATAATTCCTATTCATCTGTTTCCATTTTAAAATTTGTTTTTAAAAGCTTTTTAACTTTATTTAATTTTTATAATCTATCATCTAATTCAAATATTTATTAACTACTTGAACAATTATTAATAGTTTGAGTATGTCCTTTTAACTTTTCTTTATATTTCTAAAATATTAAAAATAGATTACATTCATTATTTATTTAAATGGTTTAATTGACATATTATTAAGTATATTAGATTCATTTGATTAAATATCAGATAATATAGAATTTAATTCATTTTATACTTCATAAACTTATTGTAAATGATTTTGTGATTGTAATTATTGCAACAATTTCATTGATTGAATATTTATCATATATAATAATTATTACAATTCTGTGTTTAATGTATTGAATTGAGTTTAATAAGTATTTCCTTTTGCATTTTCAATTATTGATTAACATTCTTATTATAAAGATGATAATGATTTTTAAAAGTCTTTTAATTCTTTAGCTTTGTCTTCAGTATCATCTGTAATACTAGTAAATGTATCAGTAGACTCTAATAAGAAAGGAGAATTAGATAATAGAGAATTTTCATCAACAGACCAAAAATTAGCTCTACTAACAGATTAATTTTCTCTTTTTTTATTTGAAACTTGCTTAACCTAATAATTTTCAACAGGAAAAAGAATATTTCCTTTTATAAGTTTTCCAACAGAGCATTCAGAACAGTAAAATATAGCTCCTATATTACGATTATATTCAAAAAATTTTGCCTATTTTAATAACTTTTTTATACTTTCTTATTAGCATGATATGCACATCTAAATTAATTTCCTTTTGTGAATGATTTTTATTTTTATTCGATTGGTGATAAGCTTAATACTTTTTATCCTACATTTTATGAAACGCTGACTTTATTTCTGCTATTAGTTTTTCTCGTTTAAAGTACTTGCTTTATAAATATATCATCCATCATTTTCTTTGGAGAAACCATTGAAGTTGGTAAAGAAGTTTTTTCTTATAATTTTAAAATTCAAATACTTTTTAGGATATTTGAGTTTTGATAGTATTAAAGCAAGGAATTAACTTCATTAAACAAATTTATATTTTCTTTGTTTTTGTTTCTTTTTTTAGTTGATTAATTTGTGGATTAATTCATTAATGGGCTACTTTCTTCTTTATATGATTGAATTATACCTTATTATTATGACGAGAAATGTCTACTTTCTGACATTTTTTTCATTGCGTTCATTAAAAATATTCGTTAAATAACAAATAATAAAAATTGATATCAAAAATTGAAAAAAAAATCAAGAACATTATTATCTTCTTTATTTCATAGTTTCCCTATGTTTCTAATCCATTTCTTTAACTTTTTATTTTCTTGATTTAATGCTCTCATTTTTTTCTTGTTCATCTTTCTTTTTCTTTACTTCAGGTAACTATTCATAATTTTTGTTTGTTAATTCTTTCATCTCTTTTTTATCAACCTTAACTTTTTCTCCTGTTGATAATCTTTTCATTAATTAATTTCTTTTATCTTCTTATTATTCCATTGGTTTTAATTCTTATTCTAAAGTTTCTAATTGTTATTCCTCTTAAACTTATTTTTCTTTCTCTACTTATCTCTTACTCTTTAACATTTCCTTTCTAATTTATATTAGTTCATCTTTAGTCTTTCCACCTTTTTCAAAAACTTTTTAATCTTACCTTTTTTCAATTTTCTTTGCTAATATAGCTTTTCTCTATTAAAATATTTCTCCTAATGTTTCTTCATATTCTTACTATACTAAATCTTATAATTAATCTGAAGATTACTAAAGTGATTATTTTATTTATTCAGAATCTATTGAGTCTTTCTTTAAAGAAGATTCTTGCTATTACACAATAAGAAGAGGGGATTATTAATATTCATAATTTTTTATTGGAGAAGTAACATTCTTAATTTCACTTTGAGAATAATTTAGATCTGAATTTGCTGAATTCATTTATTATAAAGTTACAAATTAAGATTATTTTTATTAACTTGACATTGTTTGTTTTTATGAGGATTGTGGATCAGCAAATAAAGATAATTATTTATTCTAATTCTAATTATTTCCAGTTTTTTTAGGTTATAAAAACTATCCCATAACATCCTAAGGATCAAAATTATCAATTGTTTCTAAATAAGAACTTTTTTAAAGATTTTACGTTTCAGGACTTGTCTAATTTTAATTTTACAATTAAGATTATTACAAAGAAGATTTTTAATATCTATCACTATCATTTTCTAAATTCGCTTAAGATGGTGATTATTAATAAGAAGACTCATTTTCTGATTCCTCTGGGATTGGTTATTTAGAAAATTGCTACTTTCTTGTATTTTAATATGATTAGACTAAGTTTGATTCCTCTTCCTTAATTTTCATCTTTGTATTGATTCTTTATTACTCTAATTTTTATAAATATTACTCTTATTCTTTTATATATTATCTAATATCTTAGATTTAATTTGACTTTAATAATGGTGGAGAATCAATATCGATTTATTAGTTTTGAATTTGGTCTTCTTGATCTGATTCATTTTATTTTTCCTATTAATTTTCTTCTTCATCATTACTATCATTTTACTGAGCAAATTCTTAATTAAAATAACGCTAATAAGGTGATTTTGAATTATTAATTTTTAGAGTCTACTCAATTTCTTTATTTTAAAATGAATTACTTGAAGGAGATTAATTTTTGATATCACTAAACTATACTTTTTTTTTTTGAGAAGTACTCTGATCTTCAGATCCTAGAGCATATTTTGTATAGTCTTCTTTAACCAATGATTCTTTTTATGGATCATTTAAAAGATTAGTATCTAGGGGAGCTTTGGTAAAGATCTTTACTGATTTTGGCCTTTATTTATCTTTATTTTTTGTTGTAAAAGATTTTTTAGGAGAATTTGATCTAACTCTGTGATCTCTGATTTCAATAGAAGAATTATTGCAATTAAACATTTTTTCAAATTCTGAGATCAATGTTTTTTAATGGTTTTTTTCAGATTTTGGTTTTCTAGTTGGAGGTTTAGTTTTTTATAATTATATTATTTCTTGTTTTTTAATAAATTTTGTTTCTTATTCTAATTATTCTAAGACTTTAATTTATCTCTCTTTAGAAAATGCTTTTTAACATCTTTGTTTTTATATTCTTTCTTGTTCTCTTTTTATTCTTGCCTATTCCAAAAGCATTGCTTATGTTTCAATCATTGTTTAATTTGCTTTTTCCATAGCGTTTTCTTTTTCTTAATCTAAATCATGTTTAACTACTTAAGGATTATGAAAACACGTATTCGCAAAATCCTCAGGTTTTAAAATTTATCTACGAGAAATGTTTTTATCAAATTTTTCATAACTTTCTAAATCTTATGAAAATGTAGATAATATTTTATTTTTAGTTGTTTCTTTGTAAATAGCAACAGCTTAAGCTTCTTTTTCCTTTTCAATATTTGATGCTTCTTTTCTATAATTTTATACTTCTAGTGCCTTTCCTTATGATGTTTCTAAAAATGATTATTTTTTCCATTCACGTGCTTCTTGAAATCTTTTTTATGCTTACTCTTCATAATATTACTACATTTTTAACTTTTTCTACTATTATTCTAATTCCCTTTATCTATATTCTTCAGCTTCTCTAGCTTGTCGTTATTATTCAAGTATCGTTTATTAACGTGCTTGCTCTAATTATTCAATTTAAGCTTTTTTTTATAAATATTCTTAATATTTTTATTTTTTCATTTCTTCCTCCATCTATTTTTATTACTATGATTATTATTGTTGAATCTTCATTTTTGTTAGATCTGTCTCTTATTTACGAATCTATTAATAATTTTCTATTCTACCTATTACATTCTTTAAGCTCTTAATTAAGTATTTTTTTGTTATGCAAATAATTCAGTTTCAAAATTACCGATAAATCCTGTTTTGGTTGAAGCTTAGGCTAACATAGGTGAGAAAGAACTCATAATTTTAATTAATACTTATAAAAGTAATTTAAATGACAGTTAATTGATTTGTTTACTAAAATTGTTTAAATTACATTATATATATTAAAATATACTATTAAACTCACCAAAACAATATTAAAGAACTTTATTATTTTTTTATATGAGGTTCAAAACATCTCATTTTTGAACTATTATAAATCAATTTTATTTATTGAAATCCATCAAGAAAGAGAGTTATAGCCAAAGTAAGAGTTGATGAAAAGATATTAATCCATCCTAAATTAATGCATTATTGTAATGTTAAATCCATTGGAACTCTATTAGAATATATTAAAAAGGTTAAAACATTAAATATTAGAATTGATTCAGTACAAACCATTTTATAATATTCAAAATTATTTAAAAAGGGTTTATTCGTAATTAGATAACATAGAAATAGAGTTTAATTTATTGCTACACATATAGTTTAGAGTTAACCTTCATTTTACATAAATACGATAATACATATGAAAATCTATTTCTTTATTAATAAAATTGAATTATATTATAAAATCCAATATGAGGATTTTTTTTGTTTAATTCCTTCAAAAAGAACATCATATTTTATTTTGTTACTAGATTAAGAAATCTTTCCAAGACCATGAATCAAGTAGATGAGATAGAATGAAATACTGAAACATGACACAAATGCTAAAAGGGAAAGATATGAACTAACCGTTCCAATTGTATTTGATGAAGAAAAGTTTACTAATTGAATTGCTGCTGCAAAAAAAAAGTCATATGAATTTGACATAAATATCCTTAAGATTCCATTATAATAAAATTAATTGGTATTTTTTTTCAAACTATCTCTTAACTTTTTAATTTATATTCCAATTTTAAAATTTGTCTTAGAAATAATAAATGGGCCGAAAAGATATAAAAATCTGCATAATTATCTTGTAATTTAATGTGCAATGAATCCAATGCAAAAACAAAATAAAGTGCTAGTAAAATTGATTAAAAAAAAAGGATTAATACCCGTTTTAGAAAATTTATTATCTTGCTAAATTTCCTCTTCATGATAGTAATTAAAAATTTCAAAAAGTTTATTAAATTTCAGTAAATCTAATAAAGGTTGAATCGAAATTAATTAAAAAACTTCAAAGTAAATATTTAGGTTGCTTGGAAATTGGATATTTATATAATTAATATAAGATAAATACTATAATTGATCTATGAGATTCCAAAAAATTTCTTATGAACCTGTTGCAAGGCATAAAATAGATAAACTACCCAATGAATAAATAACGACTTCATTAAATTAGCTAGCTCCTTCAGCTAAAGTTTTTTAAGTAGAGGAAAGAACCAAAGGAGTAATTAATTTAAAAGTTATAGAACTTTCTTTTAATGGTAAATCATATAATGAAATGATTGGGTCATCAATAAATGTTACCTAAAATTAAGGATCAGTTATTGGAACATTAAAATAGATTCTAAAATTTAATTTAATATCTCCATCTCCATCAAGGGATTTATAATAAGATTTTGTAATTGAAAATTCACTTGATTTGAGATTTTTGATAGTAGATGAAAAATAATTTAAGAAATCGCCCTTCATATTTTTTGAATACTTAACTTTCTAATCAAAAGTAATTTCAATGTCTTAAAAATCTTCAGGAATTTTAGTTAATATGTTGATTTTAACTATTGGTTTTTTAGAATAAAAACATTATGAATAAGTTTCTTCTGTGTTAAAACAATAGAAATCGGATTCCACTAAACATTTATCATTACAACCATCACCATTATTATCATTTCCATCGTCGCAAAGTTCTTCAGAAACAACATAGTAACCATCTCCACAGATAGCCCGACAAACATTCATTTATAAAAACCTTCCAGTTTCACATAAATAGCAGATCCCATTTTAACAATCAATACAATATTAATCACATACATTCTTACATTAAAAGCAACCATCATTATAATAATTATTCATATCATCACATTCTTCATCACCTAAAATAATACCATCTCCACACATAGGTACACATTTATTATTTTCTATGATCCATCCCAAATGATTACATTCAAAGCAAATACCTTTTTCACACAATGTACATTTTTATTCACACTAATAAGTGCATTGATAACAACCATCATATTATACATCATTTCCGTCATCACATTATTCATATCCAATTACTATATAACTATCTCCACAAACAGGATAACAGAGATTATTTGCTATACTCCAACCTTCAATTTCACATTTATAGCATACTCCTTTTTGACAATCTGTGCATTATTCTTAACATTAATATTTGCATTGATAACAACCATCAAATGGTACTTAATTACCGTCATCACATTCTTCATTTCCAACTACAAGTTTATCTCCACAATGAGGTATACATTCATCATAATCTAAGTCCCAACCTAATGTTCCACATTAAATGCAAAAACCTCTTAAACATTGTGTGCATGATTTTTAGCATTCAAAATAGCAATCATAACAACCATCTTCACTCTTATCATTACCATCATCACATTATTCATTTTCAATTTAATAACCATCTCCACAAATAGTTTAGCAATATCTGGTTACCATATTAATTTCCCATCCTACTCCCCTACAATCTTAACAAACACCTTCTACACAAGCTATACATTTTTTATGACACTAAAATCTACAATCAGAACAGCCATCATCTATAATAGTATTACCATCATCACATTATTCATCATGAGCAACAATTCCATCTCCACAAATACTTAAACATTAATTCTATTTCTTATTTAAATAGTATCCTTCTTTACATTATTAACACTTTCCATTTATACAATTTTCACAAAATAATTAACATTAAAATAAACAATTAAAACAACCATCATAAGCTATATCATTCCCGTCATCGCACTCTTCATCTAATGATAATATGTTGTCTCCGCATATTGATATGCAAACATTTCTATAAATATCAATTTGACCATATCCAGATTTCTTATTGCAATCTAAACATTGTCCCATAACACATGTAGAACAATACTAAGGACAATCAAATCTAGTTTAAAAGCATCCATCTTATGCAAATAAATTAAGATCTTCACATTATTCTAGATGAACAATTATACCATCTCCTTAAATTTATTTACATTAGTCTTTAATGATAAAATATCCATTTTCACATTATTAGCATTTCCCAAGTTCACAGATAATACAGACAGTTTAGCATTAATATTATGATTAATAACAACCATCATAAGGATTCCTATTAAAATCATCACATTATTCATTTCCTACTATCTATAAATCTCCGGATACAGGATAACATAATTTATCAAATTTATTCACTTACCATCCCTTTTTGCAGTTAAGACAGATACCTTTTAAGCAAACATTGCAAGATTCTTAACATTGAAATCTACAATTATAACAATTAAAACTAATAAGATCATCACATTCTTCTATTCCAATAAGTATTATACCATCTCCACATACTGGTTCACATTTCATTTCTATAGAATTATATTCCCATCCTAATACATTACACTCTAAACAACCTTCACTTATACAATTTGTACAAGATTATTAACAACTTAATTAACATTTATAACAACCATCAAATTTCATATTATTATCATCCTCGCAACTCTCATATGGTTACACGATTTAATTATCACCACATTTATAATCAACTATACAAGTATTTGTTCTTTTTTATAATTTATATCCATCCTCACATCTCATACAATTTCCTTTTAAACAAAAAGAACAATTTTTTTGTTATTCTAATTCTGAGAAAAGACAATGATCACAAGTATCAAAGGGATCTTCATTCCCATCATCACATTACTCAAATGGATAGACTATTATACCATCTCCACATATTGTTTAACATGTGTTATCTTCTTATAAATACCAGCCTTTGATTTCATCACATTTGAGGCAACTTCCCAGATAACATTCAATACAATATAAAGAACATGAAAACTTGCATTGAAAATATCCATCATATGGTGTTAAATTATTATCTTCACATTATTCAGGATAGATAATTTGAGAATCCCCACAGATTAAAACACATTTATTTTAAATAATAGTATATCCATCTTAACAAATAAGACATTATCCTTTAACACAAATTATGCATTATTCTTCACATTAGTATTAACAATTATAACATCCATCAAAAGGATTATTATTGCCATCATCACAATCTTCTCCATTAACAACTAATTGATCTCCACATATTGGCACACAAGGTAAATTAATTCCATCCTCTTAATATCCTTTTTAACAAACACAAATATTAAATGAAATTATTCTATAAAAATCAGAATTACAGGTTAAACAATTATTACTTTAAATTCCATCACAACTTTCACAATATTTATTACATTAAAAACACTAAGTTCCAGATAGAAAGTGGGATGGATAGCACGAACAAATTCCATTAGATAATTAAAATCCATTCATCTAACAAGAAACACACTCTTCTAAGCTTGTACATGCAAGACATCCAATTTAAGAACAAGTCTAGCAACTATATGTTTCTGTTGTAGGATTAAATGATAAAAATTTATTTGAAGCACATTAAGAATTTGTGTAACCTGATTCCCAAACATTACAAATTAAATCACTTGAACAATCAGAGCAAAATGGAGGACACTAATAAAATAAAGAATTAATAATTACATAATGAACAACTATGAAATACTCTGATATTGCACAGAACTCTTAAAGAATATCTAGACTACTTTATGTGCATTACAATTCAATATTCAATGGAGATGTCTTAAATGGATCTTTATAAATATGAAAATGTTAAATTCTCTCTTCTTTATCATTACCAATAAGATTTTAACCTCCAGATGATGGTATTTGAAATGCACCACTTTATTCTGTATTTATTTTATAATAAAAATTCCCTGTATATTCATCACCAAATGTGAGATTAAATCTGATTGTTACTGCATAATGAGGTTTAGAAATTACCCATGATTTTATATATGTGGCATCATTCCAAACCATTAAACCTCCTAGAACAAATTTTTATGGGAAAAATGAAAATTTCTAACCAGTTTTAAAATTAGTTGTTGGATTAGTAACTGAATCAAAGAACATAAGAATCTAATCATACGTCATATTCATATCATAAAATCCTTTTGCTAAATATCTAGAATCTAAATTAAATAAAAATAAAATATTACAAGGAATCAAATCAGCATAGTCGATACAATTTGATGAATAAACTGGACACTTAGATACACATTTCTTTTAATATATTATATATCCAGTTTCACACTCTTGACAATCATCAAAATTAGAACAAATTTTACAATTTTCTTAACATAAGCCTGCATCAATTGTTATATTACTAAATCCCCATGATTCAATACTATTTTAAGATAATTTACCTTATAAAGTTAATAATGGAGAATTTCTGGTAGTTTAAACGATTTTTTCAATTCTCACTGTGTAACAAGGGTTAGAATAACACCATATTAATGTGGCATCAATAACTGAAACATTTGATGAAATGGCTCTAACTTAACATTTTAGTTGATTGTCTATGAAAATATTTATTTGACTTCCAATTACAAATGAATTTATTACTAATGTGAGTCTAATCCTTATAAATTTTAATCCGTTTATGTGAGGTATTTATAAATGCATACCTTAATTAAATCTAAAATCACCATAATATTCATAACTAGTGACTTTTATGGTTTAAACATATTAAGAATTATAAATAGTAGGAATTAAGATATGAGGAGGAATTGATTTTGGTTGAGTTGTGAATTAGAAATACTTAAACTTTGATATGATTCTTCTATCAATGATACAGATTCTTTAATCGTTAGCAATATAATAATCATTGTAGCATTCTAAAACACATCCAACATCTGGTTGAATAAAAGAAGTACTTCCTGAACAAAAACATTAACCTGATATCAGGCTTCCTTAGTAACAATATAAACATTAATTTTTATTAGGTCCATTACAAGCTATACATGAAGGATGACAAATTTCAGCAAACATAAATATATTTCGTAGATTAATTTATGTCATAGATTAAGTTGATAATATGAAGTAAGAATATAAATATGTACTATTGGGAGTGTTCACAACATTACTAACAATTGTTTTCNCCAATAAGATTTTAACCTCCAGATGATGGTATTTGAAATGCACCACTTTATTCTGTATTTATTTTATAATAAAAATTCCCTGTATATTCATCACCAAATGTGAGATTAAATCTGATTGTTACTGCATAATGAGGTTTAGAAATTACCCATGATTTTATATATGTGGCATCATTCCAAACCATTAAACCTCCTAGAACAAATTTTTATGGGAAAAATGAAAATTTCTAACCAGTTTTAAAATTAGTTGTTGGATTAGTAACTGAATCAAAGAACATAAGAATCTAATCATACGTCATATTCATATCATAAAATCCTTTTGCTAAATATCTAGAATCTAAATTAAATAAAAATAAAATATTACAAGGAATCAAATCAGCATAGTCGATACAATTTGATGAATAAACTGGACACTTAGATACACATTTCTTTTAATATATTATATATCCAGTTTCACACTCTTGACAATCATCAAAATTAGAACAAATTTTACAATTTTCTTAACATAAGCCTGCATCAATTGTTATATTACTAAATCCCCATGATTCAATACTATTTTAAGATAATTTACCTTATAAAGTTAATAATGGAGAATTTCTGGTAGTTTAAACGATTTTTTCAATTCTCACTGTGTAACAAGGGTTAGAATAACACCATATTAATGTGGCATCAATAACTGAAACATTTGATGAAATGGCTCTAACTTAACATTTTAGTTGATTGTCTATGAAAATATTTATTTGACTTCCAATTACAAATGAATTTATTACTAATGTGAGTCTAATCCTTATAAATTTTAATCCGTTTATGTGAGGTATTTATAAATGCATACCTTAATTAAATCTAAAATCACCATAATATTCATAACTAGTGACTTTTATGGTTTAAACATATTAAGAATTATAAATAGTAGGAATTAAGATATGAGGAGGAATTGATTTTGGTTGAGTTGTGAATTAGAAATACTTAAACTTTGATATGATTCTTCTATCAATGATACAGATTCTTTAATCGTTAGCAATATAATAATCATTGTAGCATTCTAAAACACATCCAACATCTGGTTGAATAAAAGAAGTACTTCCTGAACAAAAACATTAACCTGATATCAGGCTTCCTTAGTAACAATATAAACATTAATTTTTATTAGGTCCATTACAAGCTATACATGAAGGATGACAAATTTCAGCAAACATAAATATATTTCGTAGATTAATTTATGTCATAGATTAAGTTGATAATATGAAGTAAGAATATAAATATGTACTATTGGGAGTGTTCACAACATTACTAACAATTGTTTTCATATCCCAGTTAATACTGGGATCACCAGTATAACATATTGTGTTTTGTTATTAAATACTAAAGGAGGAAAATGTTAGTGAGTATATAGATATATTGTGAATAGTTGTTTCTAAATTAACAGAAAATTTACTATAAGAACTAGACTTAAAGTATACTTCAAAAATTAATTAAACCCTGCTGCTTCTTGTATGTTTGATTAAGCTCATTTAGTAAATATAATAATCCAAAATGAAGTATTTTAATCCATTGTTACAATTCTAAACGTTTAAGGGAAATGAGTATGAATTGTTTCTTGAATAATTCTAATATTATGACAAATATTTGGGTAGGGTATTATTGCAAAAATTTGAATATATTAGAATCAAATCAGCAAAGATGAGTGAGATCAAAAGCATTATGAAACTTAGCTTAGAGTGCATATTGTTTATTTATTATATTAATATTAAAGTAAAAAACAATTAATTTAGCATTTTAAATATAGTTGAAGTCAATTATATGATACTGGATGCTGTTTTTTGTTTTTTTTTTTAATGTAGAATTCTATAAAAATTTTAAAATGATTTATTAATTAATAAAATTATACATAGGAATAGAGATATTTATTTTTAAATTAATGAATATAATAATTTTAGTTTATAAAAGCTTAGTATATTCTCTTTTAATTAATGGATAATCAACAAAAATTTTCTCAGTAACTTGATTGATTATATGAGTAATTATTAAGAATTTAAAGGGTAATATTGGTTTTGAACATGATTTTTAATTCTTGAATATGCATCAAAAATTGGATAAAGATTATATAAAGATTTTAATAATAATATTTCTCTCATAAATTAATTTTTTTTTATTTTCCCACTTAAAATAACGTAAGATGGGAAAACAACTCTTGATATTTTTAATCAAACAAGATAAACAAATGATGATAACCCATTTTATATATAAAATTATGAATACTGGCCTTGTAATTTGAAGGTTACTGTAATAGATAACATATATATAATAACATCAAATACAATCCGAAAACTTTTAGAGAATTCTTATATGGTCTTGTAAAAAGAGCCTTAATTAAGAAATATATATTTTCTAGATTAAATGATGATCAATATAATAATTTATAATTAAAAATTCCTCAAATTTTTTTCTTTTCCACTAAATTCAACAAATTTATCAACAATTAAGATTTTAAAAAACTTAACAGAGAAAAATTGGATTTTCTAAAAAAAGATTTAGAATTATCATTGATCTTCTTATGCTTGATATCTTTACAATACATTAATGATGATTTTATATTCTTTATTTGATAATATTATTATTAAATATATCATTCTTATATCTGAGTTACAGCTTCAGCTCCCTTTTCATGGGACATCCTTGACATAAAATTTCTTAAAAATATTGGCAATAAACTTTCAAGGTATAATTAGATTTAATGAATGCAATTTGGAGTAATTTCATTTGTCCTTCCAACATATTTCCATGTAGATTAAACAAGCTTTTGTGGCTAAATTATAAAAGCTCCTTTTTGATGATTTATCATTGCAGTGCTTACATAATAAGGCTTTAAAGTTAATATGTCAATATTTTTATGGTTCCTTAATTCTAATGATAAAGCATCAAAAAAATTTGCAATTCCAATCTAAATATTATTAACTATAATACTTTAGATGCTCCATAACCAAAAAAAAATGGATATGGATAATATGCTGAAGCAGAACTTAAATTCAATATTAATGATTAGTATTTATTTCTTAATATCATCTGATTAATGACAGCTTATGTAACCATTATTTGGGCAACAAAATTTATATTAAATCCTTCTATAATATTTTTCATTGGTAATCTATTAAAAATTCCAAATTATCCTTTTGATGTTCCAACATTATTAATTAATATAGATATGTCTAACTTTGAAATTTCTTACTAAAATTTTTTATAGAATTCTGGATTATCACCTTAAGCAAAATCAATTAATAAAGTTTTCACCATTAGATCACTTTTGATTGATTTTATTTCTTATTGTATTGAATCTAAGCTTGCTTAATTAAAATCTACAATAATCAAATTGAATCCTTTTCTAGCTAAATCTAAAGCAAATTCTCTTCCAATTCCACCAGCTCCCCCAGTTATTAATGCATATGATCCCTTTCCATATCTGTTTGCAATATCTACTTATTATAAACTTAATGTTGAAATAATTGCTTTTGCTCTTCTGAATAGGAATTTTGTTGTAAGATAAAGTCCTAAAATCGTTAAATGTGGATCAATTTTTCTTTTATTTCTTGAGTAAAATTTAATAGATCTGCTAAGTATATTATTCATATTTTCTATATAAATTAATAAATTCTGAATATAAAAAAGAATAAAATTATTAAAGGACACCCTTTCTACTTTGTAAGATTCTCAATTTTAAACTAGTAATTTTTATACCCCTTTAATTTATTTGATTATTTATGTTTTTAATTTAATTTTTTTTGATCATTATCCAAATACAAATATAAGTAAAATATATAAATATATTATCTATTAAACAATGAAGATGGTTTTGATATCGATTCTTTTCATGTAAGCTTATAGTCTTAGAATCACTAATCCAAATGTAACAGTAATAGATGAGACATTTACTACAAACAGCTTTTACAGATAAGTGTCTGAAAATATCGAAATTCCTTATGGAGCGTATATATAATCCATATCATTATAGTTATCCAGGGGTATTTGCGATAGACTTACATTAAAGAGTAAAAGGAGAGATTAGCAATTAAAGCATTAATTTAGGAGATTTTGAGAAGGTAGAGGAAGATATTTTAGAAGAAGATGGTTGTTTTTCAATTTAGAGGAACATTGAAATAAGTTTAAAATTGAAACTTTGGCTTGATAAGAGTGGATTAACAAGGGATATATATTGTACTGATGTTGCATTGGCTGAAGATTTTAAGAAGGCTTATGTTGTTAGAAATGACTTTATAATTATTTAAGTAGATTTGAATTAGGGATTATATATAATATAGCTTGAACCTTATAAATTTTCATTTGCAGAATTACTTAATTATGATGACGAAAATAATGATTACCATCCTTATTTAGTCAGAGACAAAAAATCAAATAAGATTTTTATATTCACTACAAATGGGGGTGTGAGTTTTGATAGTGGGAATGGGTCTGATATATAATTTAAAATTGAATAAGAAATCAAAAAAAGAGATTAAATCTATAATGTTCATTATAATGAAAAACATTAATTAATTTTTGTGGCATGTGGTTATGAAGGTGTAGATATATATAAAATAAATGATGGTGGAACATTACAATTATTATAAGATATTTCTACGAAATAGTTATAAGTTGAAAGTTAAATAGTTGATGTGAATAGTAATGGAGAAGATGGTTTATATGTATTAGATAAAGAGAAAGGGTTAAAGTTTTATAGGATTAGAAATTTAATGCTGGTTGAATATGAATTCACAGTTACTATTTCTAATGGATAAAGTTTTGATTTTTATGAGAATACATTTTTTATTGTTGCAAAAACAATTAATAAGTAAGATATTGCTGTTGAAGTCTTTGTTAATTAAGTAAGTTAAGAATATTACATAAATAATTATTTTTATGATTAAATGACAATAAATGACGTAAATGTATTTTAATATTATGCTGTCTTGATTGGAGATGATGGTCATTAGATAATATATCACTCAATTTATTAAGGTATAAATTAATATAATAAAATCAAGGATTTTTAAATGAAAATTTAATATCTCATACAACATTCTATTAACAACATTTGATAAAAGTTTAGGAGTATGGATTTGAAGGACAGGAATGGTCAAATTAAAGAATATTTGCAGCTATTAGTAAATATGAATTCTAGTTGATAAATATCATAATGAATAATCCTAAGATTGAATGTAAATACAGTGATGTAGGAGCAAGATAATTTTATGTCTAGATAAATTCTACAAATTGCGTACAAAAAGATAATCAAAATAATTTAAATTATCAATTTACTTTATGTAATATATCTCATTCATTTACATTTACAACAACAGAGGTAGATTAAAAATTTATAATTATTAGTTACCAGGAAATTATAATACATATGCATATTATACACTAACTATATATGTATTAATAGTACTTGGTATTTGGTTAATAGTCCTTTTTTACTATTTAATAAAGAAGTGGGGATATAAAATAAAATACTTAATTTGGAGAAAGAAAATTGTTGATGCAACAGCTCCTTATAATGAAAATTTTGATGTAAAAGAAACAGAATTACCACAAACATCAAAATAACAATGAAATTGACATTTATAAATAATATATATAATGTATCTCAAACAAATAATTTTTTATAAATTAACAATTTATACGATTGATATTATTTTATATATATTATTTGAATAACTAGAAATAGAGAAGAATGACTGAAACTAAAAATGTTGAAATTGAATTGCAAACCCCTCACGTAATAAATAGTCAAGATGAGAGATATTCTAAAAATGTTTTTGGTAATATATCCTGTGATGAAAAGATTATTAGTATGATAATATTGAAAAGAAAGGAAACTATGCTTAAAAATATTAATCTAAGAATAGAAAAATTACTTCAAATAGACCAGATTATCAATTACCAAATAATAGTATCTAAACATCTAAATATACATTATTGAATTTTTTTCCGAAATAATTATTTGAGTAATTTTCAAAGCTGGCAAATGTTTATTTTGTGGTATGTTTTAATGGTTATCAAATTAGTTAATGGGTGCATTATAAATGGTTCCAGAAGTTACAATAAGTTCAGGAATACCGACAATATATTTACCATTAGGATTCATAATTTTGATAAGTGGAGCAAAGGATTTTTATGAAGATTATAAAAGAAGGACTTCTGATAATGAGGAAAATAAACAGTAAGTAACAGTATTTGATGGAAAAGATTTTGTAAAAGTTCCTTCATATGATTTAAGAGTAGGTCATATATTGAAGGTGTGTTAAGATGAAATAATTCCAGCTGATATGATCTTATTAAGATCAAGTGAGAAAAAAGGAATTTGTTATGTTGAAACTAAATCACTTGATGGAGAAACTAATTTAAAATAAAAAAATGTTCATGTAGATCATCTTTAGATTTTTAAATCAGATGATTGTTTTGGACAATTAGACAAAAGAATAATATTAAAATATTAGGCACCAACTCCTTATTTGTATAAATTTATAGGAGAAACGACAACCTCAAATCTATAAGTCTCATCAATTAATTTTAATAATTTTCTTTTAAGAGGATGCAATTTAAGAAATGTTAAATATATTTTTGGTTTAGTAGCTTATACTGGTCATGATACAAAAATTATGATGAATTCTTATAGAGCTAGAACGAAGCGCAGTAAATTAGAAGTCAAAATGTAAAAGTTTATTTTAATAATCTTTATAATTTAATTTATCATGTGTATCATAGCATCTGCTGTTTATGCAATTTCATATTTTGATAATAGAGAATTTTTAAATTATTTATATATAGAAATAAATACTTCAGAGTATACAATTCCATATAACTTTTTTGTAAGATTTGGTAATTGGATGTTAATTTTTAATAATTTTGTACCAATCTCTCTTTTGGTAACTTTAGAGATGGTAAAATTTATTCAAGGGAAGATTATGACGTTAGATGAAAAATTGAATTAGCCAAGAGTATAGACTTCAAATTTAAATGAGGAACTTGGATAAATAGAGCATATTTTTAGTGATAAAACTGGTACTTTAACATGTAATATAATGGAGTTTAAACAAATAATAATGTATACTTTTAAAATCAATATAGAGGCAATCAGAATTATGGAGATATACTAAGATCATCAGATGAATATATTGGAGATGATGAATTAATTAATTATCCATAAGTTAGTAATGTAGATTTTAGAGATAAAACTTTGTTATAAGCAATAGCAGATAAAAATCATATAATGCATGATAAAGTTGTTGAATGTTTAAAAATGATATCAATATGTCATACAGTTATATCAGATTAAAAAGATGGGAAACTACTTTATAATGCAACATCACCTGATGAATTAGCTTTATTAAATTTTGCTAGATTTGTAGGATTTGAATTTTTGGGAACAGATGAAAATAATATAAAAAGAATAAGCTTTTAAGAAGAGATAATTGAATATCAATTATTGGAAATGTTCGAATTTACATCTCAAAGAAAGAGATAATCAATTTTAGTTTAAGTGATTAAAACTGGAGAAATATATTTATTTTCAAAAGGTGCAGATTCTGTTTTATTGGATTAGGTGAGATTATCAAAAGAAGAATTAAATAAAAATGAATATCATAATTTAGTGTAGAGATTATAGGAATATGGTAAAATAGGATTAAGAACTTTGGTTTTATCTAAGAGAAAATTAAGTAAATAAGATTATGAAGAATGGCATAGACGTTATTAATAAGCAACATAATAAATAGAAAATAGGGAAGAAAAGATGCAGGTGCTTTAAGATGAATTGGAAAAGAATTATGAAATTTTAGGAGCTACTGCAATAGAAGATAAATTATAATAAGATGTTTCAGATACAATTGCAGCAATAAAAGCAGCTGGAATAAAAGTTTGGGTGTTAACAGGAGATAAAATTGAGACTGCTATTAATATTGGTTATTCGTGTTCATTATTAACAAATAATTTAGTTTAACATATAGTTGATGAAAAAGAAGAACTTTTAATTAATGAAAGATTAGATGATATTTTAAATAAGATTCCTACTCTTTAGACAACTTAAGGATAAGCTTTAATTATATCTGGTGATGCTTTATTACATGCTTTGAAACCAGATATATAAAAAAAAGTAGCAGAAATTTGTGGATTTTGTGAAGTTGTTTTATGTTGTAGAGTAAGTCCAAAATAAAAATAAGATGTTGTATCTTTAATAAGAGGAAGAAATCAATAATGTTCTACCCTTGCTATAGGAGACGGTGCAAATGATGTTAATATGATTACAGCTGCTCATGTTGGAGTTGGTATTAGAGGCGTTGAAGGTTAATAAGCAGCAAGAGCAGCTGATTATAGTGTCTAAGAATTTAGAGAATTGAGAAGATTATTATTTTTTCATGGAAGAGAGTGTTATCGTAGAAATAGTGTTTTAGTTTGCTACACTTTTTATAAAAATATTCTAGTTGTATTACCTTAATTTTGGTATGGCATTCTCTCTATGTATTCTGCTTAATCATTATATGATACATTCATTTATTAATTATTTAATATATTATATGGATCATTACCAATTATGATCTATGGAATATTTGATGAGGAATATGATGCTGATTAATTGACTGATAATAAATTATAGAATTACTATTAATAAGGTCCTTAAGGAGTTTTATTTAATATATAGATAGTTTTATTTTGGATTTTCTGTGGATTCTGGTAAGCTGCCATTTTATGTTTCTTTCCTACATATACTATTTCTGAAAACTTTGTAGAAAATAGTGGATTTACTCATCATTTATGGGCTCAAGGAACTATGATATTTGGGTTGATAATTGTTGTTTGTAATTTGAAAGTTCTAATATTTTCAAATACTTACACACCTGCATTACTAGTAATTTTTAATTTATTATTTAAGGGTAGTATTTCTTTTAGTATGATATCATACTTACTTTCTTGGATCATCCTTGATAATTTACCTTCAGCTGAAGCATATGTTGTTTTTTAATCGTATTAATTTATTTAAATAATTAGATTATTTTAAACACCTAATTTTCATTTAGGCAATATTTTAGTTATTGCTGCCATTTGCAGTGTTGATATTGCATTAAATATTAAACTTAATAGAGTCTTATAAAAGGTCAATTAAAATATGTCTATTAAAGCACCTTTTACCTAAAATAATTTATCTCTCTAATAAGCTCCTAAAATAGTTGGAAAGTTAAACAACAAAGCTCATACAGGATTTGCATTTAATTGTTTAGATAGAGATGAATTAGAAGATTAGGATAAAATTGATTTGTATGGAATAGACAATTAAGTTTAATCTTAAAATGGATGAAAGTCTTGTTTTATTTTTTATTATTATATTGAATCAAATATTAATAAATGATCTAAAATCTAAGCCATTACCACTATACAAATATGGAGCAATAAAAGAATTGTCAGCAACTTTAATATGATATCCAAAATCAGTAGGATTTCCGAATACTAAATTATTTTAAAAGGTAGCATCTTAAGCTAATCTTATCATAATATTCAACTTTACTTAATTTATGAAGCTTAAACATTTTCAATTCTACTTATAATACGATTTTATTCGAAAACAACCTCATATGAATTGTCAGTATTTTTAAGGACTTATCTAATAAATGGAATTGCTCTTTTTGCCTATAGTTTGTATATCTCAATGATATACCTATCCTTATTTTGCTAAATAAAAGAAAGTAGCAGCAATAGTAGGAACTGTTAATATTGTAGAATAATATGCATCACCTCTGTAAAATAAATACAGGAAATAACCAGCAAAGACTCCTGCCAATATTTAATATCTTAAAACATGATGTTCTTATGCTTATGATTCATATACTAATTTCTATCCTTTTTCATTAAATCTATTCTAAGCAAATCCTGATTGATATTCCTTTTCATATAATTCTTATAAGAATAATTTAAAATCATGTCCATCAACATTTCTAGCATATTCTTAATCTTCAGCCGAAAATTGCTTTGTAGCTCTGTTGACAGTTTAAATAAAGAGTTATTTCTCTTATGCTTATTAATCCAATTTCTCTGTCACCTACACATCAGTCTCTTAATTTGATTCAATGAATGATTTAATCAAACCAACATATCTAATTATTAAATGCTAAAATACCTTCCTTAATTAAATTAATAATTTTAGAAGATTGATTCAAGTGATTCTGTTAATTAAACTGCCAATTATGGATCTTTTACTTCTGCTTTTATTCTATTTATGACTTTATTAGTTCTTTCTCTGAATATTTATTCTAATTGTTAAACGTAGCCTCTAAAATATTATATAATCTCTACGGTGAGACTAAATTATCATAATGAATTCCTTCCAAATATATGCTAAACAAATCTTGAGCTGCTTATTTTCTTGCTTCATTTGTAAGTTTGCTGATTTCTGGAATTCTATATTAAAGACTTGAAGCAAATTGTTCTAAGTTTTCACCATTTTGTTATTATTATCTGAATAATAATTCTAATTTTTCAACGTGAAGCTAAATAAATACAAATAAAATTATTAACCTTATAATCATTTGGGTTTGGAAAATTTTGAGGTCGAAGTAATTAACTTAATTAGTAAATGCCTGAAAGTTTTGTTAATTAAGAAGTTGTTATTCCATACTTATTTGCTACTTATTAGAATTGGGCAATTTAAGCTTATTAAATAGATGGATTTGCAGCTTCTCTTAAACATACATACTCCCTTAAGTATCGCAAACGAGTTGGATATTGTCTCATAGAATTTCCTAACACTTTTCTAAACATATTTAAGATATTTAATTTAATGAATAAGTGGATATTCAAATTTATATGATAAAAATAATTGATTTTTTTATTCTGTATACATTTCTTTAATTAATTATAAACGTTATACTAATTAAATAGTTAAGTTATTGCTTTAAAAAATGAGATTTTATTACAAGCATGCTCTTAAATTAACTTATTCAGTTTTAAAGATTTGTTGATAGTTGATTTTTTTGTCTTGATTAAACATTTTTGAAAATGTACTAACAAAATTCCTCTATTATCCAATTCCAAAAGGTTTCTTCAGCATTTAAACATTTTAATTTAACTTCAAAGATAACCATAATAAATGGTTGATTCTATTGGCCTATAATTCATTTTATCTTTACCTTATTTGATACAATAGGGTTTTAATGAGAATATTTTTTTTAATTTCTTCATAGCCTAGCTATGAAATAGTAGCAGATAATTAGCAGAAGAATATAAATTAGGGGACATAAAAAAGATAAGAGGAAATGGATTGATTTGAAGAAAAACCCAAGCAAGACAAAAAAAAGTATTGAAATGCTACCATTATTCCAGCCTTATCATATACTAGAAGAAACGCTAAACTTAATAGCAGAATCTACATATACAGCCCAACTTCCTCATTAAAAATGAATTGCTTATAGGGCAACACGAATAAAATCTTTCATAAAATATAGTAAATTTTTTGAAGTAAGATAATTAAATTCCCCTTTTTTATTTAATCTTTAAGTTCTTTTATTCTGGGATAATATTTTCTCCTTCTTTTCCCCCTTATTTCACTTAATTATTTTCAATTTATTTAAGATTTCCAATAAACTTTTCTCTTATTTCATCCTGTTTGATAACAATTAAATGAAATAAAGGATATAATTATATAGATTTTAGATCTTGAAGAAGCTCAAAAACAGTTTCTTACAATAAAATATCTTAGTTCTTCTATCAGCTATAATGACACTTCTTGTGTTCTGACTTCTCCTTAAACAGGTAATTAATAATTTATGATATTAAAGTTCATACAAAGAGTTTCATATTTCGATTCATTTGGAGCAGAGGTGAAGTTAAATTTCCAAAAAAAAGAAACTCATCAATCTCCATTCGGTGGTTTTTGCACAATTTTAATGGTAGTTGTTTTAGGGATAGTTTTCATATCAGGAGCAATAAATGTAATTAAATANAGAATTTCCTAACACTTTTCTAAACATATTTAAGATATTTAATTTAATGAATAAGTGGATATTCAAATTTATATGATAAAAATAATTGATTTTTTTATTCTGTATACATTTCTTTAATTAATTATAAACGTTATACTAATTAAATAGTTAAGTTATTGCTTTAAAAAATGAGATTTTATTACAAGCATGCTCTTAAATTAACTTATTCAGTTTTAAAGATTTGTTGATAGTTGATTTTTTTGTCTTGATTAAACATTTTTGAAAATGTACTAACAAAATTCCTCTATTATCCAATTCCAAAAGGTTTCTTCAGCATTTAAACATTTTAATTTAACTTCAAAGATAACCATAATAAATGGTTGATTCTATTGGCCTATAATTCATTTTATCTTTACCTTATTTGATACAATAGGGTTTTAATGAGAATATTTTTTTTAATTTCTTCATAGCCTAGCTATGAAATAGTAGCAGATAATTAGCAGAAGAATATAAATTAGGGGACATAAAAAAGATAAGAGGAAATGGATTGATTTGAAGAAAAACCCAAGCAAGACAAAAAAAAGTATTGAAATGCTACCATTATTCCAGCCTTATCATATACTAGAAGAAACGCTAAACTTAATAGCAGAATCTACATATACAGCCCAACTTCCTCATTAAAAATGAATTGCTTATAGGGCAACACGAATAAAATCTTTCATAAAATATAGTAAATTTTTTGAAGTAAGATAATTAAATTCCCCTTTTTTATTTAATCTTTAAGTTCTTTTATTCTGGGATAATATTTTCTCCTTCTTTTCCCCCTTATTTCACTTAATTATTTTCAATTTATTTAAGATTTCCAATAAACTTTTCTCTTATTTCATCCTGTTTGATAACAATTAAATGAAATAAAGGATATAATTATATAGATTTTAGATCTTGAAGAAGCTCAAAAACAGTTTCTTACAATAAAATATCTTAGTTCTTCTATCAGCTATAATGACACTTCTTGTGTTCTGACTTCTCCTTAAACAGGTAATTAATAATTTATGATATTAAAGTTCATACAAAGAGTTTCATATTTCGATTCATTTGGAGCAGAGGTGAAGTTAAATTTCCAAAAAAAAGAAACTCATCAATCTCCATTCGGTGGTTTTTGCACAATTTTAATGGTAGTTGTTTTAGGGATAGTTTTCATATCAGGAGCAATAAATGTAATTAAATATAAACATTCACTGTATCTTTATTTAATAATCTATTGAGATCTCATCCAATAAGATATTAAACATTGATCCTCCTTTGACTACACTCAATTATAATGATTACATGATAGCATTCTAAGTAGAGGATCCAATCATCAACGGAACTAAAAAGTTAATAGATTTTATCTATACATAATATGAACAAAAGCTTAATGAAAATGGTACCCTTAATAAAATTGAATTATACTCATTACCACTTGAATAATGCACTCTCAATCATTTTCAAGAACTTAATGAATCCACTATCTATAATGTATAACTACCTATCTACTAAATTTTAGAAAATACTCAAAGATTAACTCTAGAGTTACTATTGTCTCCCTATCAATTATACACTTAATCTTTAAGGCACTATAAATCTAATACGTTTTAATATGGCAGAATTACTGCTATACTTTGCTCCACCAATACATGTGTCTCCTAAAGGTTAATCTCTTACATTTTTTCCAATAGTATACATTGGTTGTTTTATAACAGATTATGTTTCTAATTTTTTTTTAATTCTCCATTACTTCTAGTATTTATATCTTTTAAAAGTATTAAGATTAGTCTTATTTTATTATCATAATATCATCTTTTTCTTTTAGTGTATAGCAATCTCCTAACATTTAATAAATTTCTTATCTAAAGCATATAACTTTACGTGATATAAGGATAAGCATGTATAATGATCATTCCTTTAATCATATTTAATTAATTCATATACCCTGGAAATTTCTTAGAAGGTACTTCTTTTAAATCATTTTAATTAAATCATTAAAAAAAATTTCCCATTTATCCTTATCTCTTGTGACCTAGATAGTGATATCTGCAGCAAATTGCAAATGGATGCCTAATAGAACATGCTTAATCAAATATTGATTTACTCTTAGGTTTGGGTCCTTTTCCACACAAAATCTCTCTATCATGTTTAATAACCTTCTTTCGTTATTTCCTAATTCTAGAAAAGCTCTTCCTATTTGATTAGCTACCAGATCTTATTTTTATTATGTCTTCCAAAACTTATGTCTGTCATCTAAAAATAAAATTAAATATTTTTTTCTTTATGCATACTAGCTTAAGTGAATTCTCAATCTTTTCGAATTAAATTAAACAAATTAATAATCTAAAATAACTATATTTGGTGATTAAAAATAAAGGGAATAGTGCTTGAAATAAGGTAAATTAAGAAATTTAAATAAATAATAAATTAAATTCAAATAAAATAGTTTCAGAAAACCAGTCAAAAATTTCAATTATTCAAACAATATTTAAAGATTATAAAAAACTTTTATCAATATGTAAATTTCTTTATTATTTATATTAGTTATCACTACATAGATATTTTGAATTCTTTTAACAAACAGTAAGAGAAATATTGTTTTGTTTAAAACTAAAAGAATAGAATGGATTTAAATTAAACATTAATTTAAATTTATGATAATGGTACTATAATAAAATCTAAAAATATAATATATCAATCTCCTAAATATTTATTAAAATCAATTATTTATAATTTGTATTCTTCTAAGTCTTCAACATTATTTTCATCATCAATTGGAGACTTACTGGAATTTTCATCTTTGCTTGATTCTTCTTAAGCTATTTAAACCTTGTATTATTCTCCATTATAAATTTTATTATTCATAGGAATTTCGACAAAATACACTTCTTCATAATCTGGTTTTTCATACTCATCCCGAGATAGTTCATTGTTTAAACATTCTTCAAAATCAATAGATGAATCAGTCTTAGCTAAAAAAGAAACACCATCCTCAAATAGTTTTTTTTTAGAAATTTCTACAAATCTTTACATCGCTCTAAAGCATGTTTAAGCATACAAATAAGATACTAATGGATTAACATCTTAATCTAAATCAATTCCAAAATCCTCTTCGATTTCTGTTCTTGTTTCCATTTCTTTAATCATAAGTTTTCTCCCTCCTTCCTCTGTCAGATTGATTTCAAGTTTTTCTAAATATGCCTCTTTAATCACAGCAAATAAGACTAAATTATATGGTATGTTTCCTTTTAAATCAGATTTAAGTTGCATATCCATAATTTTGAAGAGTGCATTTCTGATTAAATCAGCTTTAATATTAAATTTAAGTTGTTCAACCTCTTCTTAAGTATGTTAAGGATTGATATGTTTCCAATCATCTATGTTTTTTTAAGTAGTTTTTAAGATGTCTAAGCCTAATGGTTTTGGTAATGTAAGAAGAAGATCAGTTAATTTACTTTGATTAATAATAGTTCCATCAGAGCTAAAACGAGTCCAAACATCTAGCATTTTGTTTTAATATTCATCAAATCTATTAAGTGGATTATCTTCATGAAAATAATTGACATCATATTAATCTAAAACTATAAGAATAAAAAGATTGAGCATAACAAAATTCTGAATTAAAATAAATGCAACCCAAAATAGAGCATTATAATTTGAACCATTATTCATAGTATCATACATGATTCTATTCCAATCTAATCCTGTTTAAGAAAGGAATAATAAAATGAAAGAGTGATGAAAATCTTAAAAGTTATTTGTATCCGAGATAATCTTCCCTTCCCTTATATCTGAGAATAGGAATACTCCTAAAACAGAGAAAATAGAATGGATTAAGAAATATAAGGCAGCANTTTAAAGATTATAAAAAACTTTTATCAATATGTAAATTTCTTTATTATTTATATTAGTTATCACTACATAGATATTTTGAATTCTTTTAACAAACAGTAAGAGAAATATTGTTTTGTTTAAAACTAAAAGAATAGAATGGATTTAAATTAAACATTAATTTAAATTTATGATAATGGTACTATAATAAAATCTAAAAATATAATATATCAATCTCCTAAATATTTATTAAAATCAATTATTTATAATTTGTATTCTTCTAAGTCTTCAACATTATTTTCATCATCAATTGGAGACTTACTGGAATTTTCATCTTTGCTTGATTCTTCTTAAGCTATTTAAACCTTGTATTATTCTCCATTATAAATTTTATTATTCATAGGAATTTCGACAAAATACACTTCTTCATAATCTGGTTTTTCATACTCATCCCGAGATAGTTCATTGTTTAAACATTCTTCAAAATCAATAGATGAATCAGTCTTAGCTAAAAAAGAAACACCATCCTCAAATAGTTTTTTTTTAGAAATTTCTACAAATCTTTACATCGCTCTAAAGCATGTTTAAGCATACAAATAAGATACTAATGGATTAACATCTTAATCTAAATCAATTCCAAAATCCTCTTCGATTTCTGTTCTTGTTTCCATTTCTTTAATCATAAGTTTTCTCCCTCCTTCCTCTGTCAGATTGATTTCAAGTTTTTCTAAATATGCCTCTTTAATCACAGCAAATAAGACTAAATTATATGGTATGTTTCCTTTTAAATCAGATTTAAGTTGCATATCCATAATTTTGAAGAGTGCATTTCTGATTAAATCAGCTTTAATATTAAATTTAAGTTGTTCAACCTCTTCTTAAGTATGTTAAGGATTGATATGTTTCCAATCATCTATGTTTTTTTAAGTAGTTTTTAAGATGTCTAAGCCTAATGGTTTTGGTAATGTAAGAAGAAGATCAGTTAATTTACTTTGATTAATAATAGTTCCATCAGAGCTAAAACGAGTCCAAACATCTAGCATTTTGTTTTAATATTCATCAAATCTATTAAGTGGATTATCTTCATGAAAATAATTGACATCATATTAATCTAAAACTATAAGAATAAAAAGATTGAGCATAACAAAATTCTGAATTAAAATAAATGCAACCCAAAATAGAGCATTATAATTTGAACCATTATTCATAGTATCATACATGATTCTATTCCAATCTAATCCTGTTTAAGAAAGGAATAATAAAATGAAAGAGTGATGAAAATCTTAAAAGTTATTTGTATCCGAGATAATCTTCCCTTCCCTTATATCTGAGAATAGGAATACTCCTAAAACAGAGAAAATAGAATGGATTAAGAAATATAAGGCAGCAGCATTGATGATCGCAGGAATAGAAAATACAGCAGTATCAATAAGTTTCTTAAGACCTTTAAATTATTTGACTAATCTTAATAATCTAATCGCTCTTAAAATTCTAAATCCTTTTCCTATTGATAAACCACTTTCATTTGTGGCAAAATCTATGATGGAAATTAATACAATAATAAAATCGAACTAATTCCAATTTACTTTAAAATATGCTAAAGGGCCGAAGGTTAAAATCTTAATACCAGCTTCTAAGCAAAAAATGATAGATATGGCAAAATTGATCTCATCAATTATATAAAGATATTCTGGATTAGCATCTACTAATTATAATTTAATATACCATCCATATACATGCCAGTTACAACGATATTAATGATAATGAAAAATGATATAATCATATCGAATTTCTTTGCTTTTACAATTTTGAAAAAAAAGGCTTAAATCTTATTTTTAGGCATATAATATAATGTTAGATCAGGTTTAGCTTCAATAATTAATTTTTGAGTATCAATCCATTAAATCTAATCTTGAGTAAGAGAAGAATCTCTTGCTTTTTCTTCTGCAATATGAAAATTAACTAAAATAACTCCTATAAATAAATTGTTAAGTAAAATTGATCCAATTAGAATAAAAGCTAAAAAGAATAAAAAGAATTCTGGTGAATTATTCTTTACTAAACCATTTTCAGTTCCATCTTTAAAATATAACAATTGATCTGGCCAATCTAATAATGTGCTTAAACAAAATAAGGTTAACATGCCTGAAAAGATATTCTCAAAATTACTATCGTATATTCTCCAAATTCCTTTACACTAAAATAATTAATTTATTATATTACTTCTACTTTAGTTTCATAATGCATTACACCATCTCCCATATCACAATAATAAAGTTTTCCTTTAGCAAAATTTATACCAATAATTGCAAACATCATCCAAACAAGAATTATAACAATTGCAACATTAAAAATACCATCTGCTGATTATAATAAGGCTGATACAATAATTTTCATTGATCTATTATGAGAAACAAATCTTAATGGTCTCAATGTTCTAAACAATCTCAATATTTTTAAATAACTTAAATCTATAGCTGCCACACTGATATCTACTATTGATCCAACTAATATAATAAAATCTAGAGCATTCCATGAATTACGTAAATAACTTAGTTCATCTCCAATAAATCCAAAAGCTATTATTTTTATAAATGCCTCTGAACCAAATAAAATTACCATTGAAAAATCTAACCAATAAGATATATCTTCATAAGACTCACCTAAAGCATAAGTATCTAAAATAAGTTTAGCACTTGATATCAAAATTAAAATTAGAATAAATATATCAAATATTCTGTGTTTTACTGCTCGATAACAAAGCTTTCGAAATGAGCTCTCTTAAGAGAATATCATTAAAGCATATTCCCCTAAACCTTTCTCTTAAAAATAAATAAATCTTTAAGTTTATACTTTCTAATATTCTTCTAAATCATCTTATATTGATGATTTACTTGATTTTCTACTTGCTTAAGGTCTAGAGGATATTGCAGATTCAAAGATTCTATCTTTACCAATTATTATATCATTATCTATCTAATTTTTATCTCTTCTATACTCTGCTTCAAAATTGTCTAATAATACTGCCATAAATAAATTCAAGAAAACATAATTTCCTATTGCAATCCATATAACTAAATATAAAAATACTACTATGTTGTTAGCATCAGACAAGAATAAAGAATATAAAACATCACTCCAGTTTGAAATTGTAAATAATTAGAAAACAGTTTCAAATGATGTTAAAAATGAATTAAAAGTATATCTATAATTTTAATCTAAAATTTATCCTTGAAATAATGAGAATCCTAAAATAGTAAATGTATATAAGAAGAAGAGTAATAGAATAAACATCCATAATATTTGTTCAAATGCATTTTCTAATACTTTTAATAAAAATCCCATAAATTTTAATGATCTAATTAATTTAGAGATTCTTAGAACTCTTAAAGCTCTGAAAATTCTTAAAGATCTTAAAGCACTAAATCCTGTTTTGGATCCATTTTCTTGATTGATAATAACTTCGTATAAACTGATTCCAACAATAAATGCATCAAAAATATTAAATTTATCTTAAACATATTTTTTAACTCCAAGACCTATCAATTTCAACCCAAGTTCAATTATAAAAATGATAGTGAATGCGAAATTAAAATTTGAGAGTAAATCATCATCTGTTACTAATCCATCCAAAGCCAAAACAATAGTATTAAAAGCAACACATAAATTAATTGCACGATTAAAGTATTCACTGGTAATTAGACTTGTTAATTTAACTCTAATGACTTTAATAATTCCTGAAATTCCTGGCAACCATATTTCATATATATCTAAACTGTAATTTAATGCTAACATTATTTTATTCATTAAAGAAATTGTTTAATCATCGACATATTCACTCATCGGTAGCACATCTTCAATTGAAGATTATTAAACTATTTATTACTATGAAGTGGCTTCTGACTAATAAATAATCAATATTATAAATTACCATCATTTTTAAATAATCCTAATAGTTAATACTTGTGGTTATTGTAATTTGATCATAGTTTAAATATCTTAATTATTCTTTTAGATCATAAGATATTTCTACCTTGCCATATTATTCTAAATCTACAGCTTATACTTCTTTTCTTACTAATAACTAAGCTTCTTAATAATTAAATTTTTAATCATTAAAAATCAATTTTTTATATTATATTTGCTCTTCCTAATCTTGGAATTTAACTTATTTTTAAGAACGTTTTGCAGTTGTGCTTTTTAGTTAAGTTGTAGATGGTTAAATTTTAGAGGTAGATTTGAAGTTAATAAATTAGCTTTGTTGATTAGAGAATACATATTTAACTTGTTTTTTTATTTTTCTATTTATCTCTTCATTGTTCTTGATATTCTATTGTACTTTTTTCATTTATTAAACTTCTAATACATCTAATTCGGAGTTAGAATGATAAGGTAAATAAGGAACTTCTTTATAAAATTTAGTTTTGAATAATTTGATTTTTAATTGTTGATATCTTTCATCATTTGCTGAATTAAAAGTTTTACTTAAGTAAGTAGATTTTTTCAAAGTTTTTCTAGTAAATCTTGGTTTTTTTCTTCGAACAATATTTATTTTGGACGATGAATTATAAGTAGAATCAAATCTAGGTTTTTTAATCAAATTGAATTCCATGATTCCTAGATCCACTAATTCTTAATCAACTTATTCACTGGGGATAGAATTAATAATAGAATTTTCACTTTTGTCTAAAATGGATACATCATTTTTAAGTTTTTCGATTTGATGATTTTTAATATTAAAAGATCTCTATTTTACATCTTAAAGCATTTAAATTTATTAAGAAGTTCTAGGGGCATAAGTGCCATGTTATGCAGGAAGTCTATTAAAAGTAGGATTTTATTAGTTAAGTTGATTATTTGGAGTTAGAAGTCCATTACTTTAATTTTCAATAGTGAGAATATTGTTTTGATGTTAAGATAAAAAATCTAATAATTATTCATCAGTATCTTTAGGTGTAGTAATAGTTTTTTTTGATTAATGTTGTCCAATGATTTTAAGATCATTTACAAGAATTTAATCTGAATCAGTAATTGAAGGTCTAACTCTATGAACAATTTTTCTACTGAATTGAGATTTGGGAGATCCTTAATTAACTTCATGAATGTTTTTTTAATTTTTAGGAGTAGTATTACGAGATCTATTGTTGGGAGATTTATGATTATTATTTAAAATAGATTTACTAGATAATTATTTATCCTTCAATAGAGATCGATTAGATTAATTAAAAAAAATATTGTTCAATTTATTATCTTATGATATATTATATGAGAAACTAATATTTTAGTCAATAGGACTTTGAAGAAAGGAATATCCAGGTTATTCATTAATAACATTAAGATTATTTCTTGTTTAATTAGATGGAGTAACACCTCCAATAATTGGTTATAGTTTTTTTCCCATTCCATAGATTCCCATAAATTTTTTATCTTATTTCATAAAAGGAGTACTAAAATTATTTGCAAATTTAATAGGATTAATTTTAAAGTTAGTATTTTAAGTTTAGCTAGGATATTTAGTAGTTCTATGTTTAATTCTAGATTAAAATCTTTAAGTTCTTTCTCTAAATGTAAATTAAGCATCACTTTTCCTTCTCATAGCTGCTTATATTTGTAATTTAGAAGGTTCATAGATTCCCATTAATCTTAATTCCCAATAATCATAACTTTCTTCTATTAATGGAAGTATGATTATTTTCTAATTATTTGAAAAATTAAGTTTTATAATGGCTAATGTCAAATTGACTAAAAAGAATCCTCCTACCATAACAACCATAAAAAAATAAATGTATACAGCTTCATTATAAGCTGCGACTGTAAAATCTAAAATCTATGACCAACTTTCTAGAAGTGTACATATAAAAACCTATATCAATGACCATCCAAATGTATCAAAATTTATTAAATCTTTAAAAGGATTAGCTATCTATTTAATACAATCGAATTCTCCTTAACATTCTGAACATATTTCATCATTTTATGGAATCCCATTCTCTAAATTTACACATCTTTTCTTTAGACCTCCACCAAATAATAAAAGTGCTACTATTGCAAATATTGAATATGAAAACACTAATACTATTAATGCATCTTTTAATTAATATACTGATTAAAATAAAGATGTTAATATCACTTTTAATGATGGAATACTTCTACCTGCATCTAAAGATCTCAATATTCTTATTGTACGCAATGCATTAAAGTTGAATTTTATATTTACAAAGTAAGGCATGTATTAAAATACCAATATGATAAAATCTACAACATTCCAAAAATCTCTAAAATATGAATCTCTCTTCAAATATAAACCCTATCGATATCTCATTATAATACCAATGCTAACATTTTAAATATTGCTTCAACAGAATAACAAATTACAAATATCATTTCATATTAATCTTACTCTAATGCTAAACATAATGAATTCAATATTATGACTATCATCAGTATCAATTGAAATGCTTTTAGATTTATTAAATATTTCATTAGATATCTTATCCATTAAAATCCTATCATTAATGCTCTTCTCATCTTTAAAAATGGATACCTATTTTTTATTCACTTTCTTAATACTCATCAACATAAAAATAAGCTAACTGTAGTTCATTCATAGGTCTTAGTTTTATTTAACTACTTGGTCCAGGCATATTTTGTGTATACTCTATATAAAATTCATTATCCAATTCTATCAAATATTCATATGTTATTTGAGATTCTGTATTCTATTATATTGCTATCTCATAATTTGTATCATCAAATATCAATTGCTACATTCTTCTCAAACATTCTTTTCTTTCTTTCCTTTTTTTCTCCTCTTGAATCTTAATCAAACCAAACTACTTACTTCATATTCATCTTCATCCTCATATTATTCTAAAATTATGCCATTTTTCATAACTTTTTTTTACTTATAATTATATAAAATTTTTGTTCATAAATATTTTTACTAATAGTTAACCATCCTTTATATGACAAAACATCATCAAACTTACTTTAATTTTAATTTCTTTCACCTTATTACAATTATTTATTCTTACTATTACTTATTAAACTACTTCTTTAGTTCAACAATTTACTTCCTCTATCTAGCTTCTTGTAATTTACCTCAAATTATACTCTTTTCAATTCTATTTTTAATTCAAGAAAATTGATCTTTTATTTAATAATATAATTCTTAGTATATCTTATAAAATCATTTTCCAAAATTTCCTAAAACAGATCTTAACTTATCCAATTAACTCTTTGTCTCAGCCTATTAAGTCTATAATTTCTAATGTTATTATAACAACTGTGAATATTACTATTTGAACTTTTCATTTTCTTTTTATTTCTCTTATAATGTAGTCTTGGCTTATTGCAACTATTGTAATACTATATTTTTTTCATTTTAATATTGATTCACCTTATTTAAATTCTCTTTAATTAACTTTATTCAATACCTTTTAGCTTATCATTTTCAGAGGCCTTTTCTCTGAGAACATTTTATAATTTTTACATATCTGCCTATATCTATTATACTCTTTTCTCAGATTCTTAAACCTTATTCTACATAATCGCTAATTATGCTTTATAACTCTCTACAGATTGAGTTGATTTTCTATATTCTTGGTATTCCTAAGAAATTAAAGAAGTGAATTACTCTTGATGTTTACTAAAGCATTTATGATGCCTTTTGCAATTAAGATTTTAATTCTTCTATATCCTTAGATTTTTATTCTAATAGACTTTTAAGCTTTTAATTATCATCTAATAATTATCGCATTTGTTATTCTTTATTATCAATATTTAAAGCAATAGATTTTATTTAATCTTATTTTAATTAATTAGTTTATTTCAATTTGTTGTGTTCTTAACTGAAATCATTCATTTAATTTTAATATTATTATAATTATTATTGTAATTATTAAATTTTTAATTGTTATTCTCTTACAACCTTATCATTTTATAAATTATTTATATTCCCTCCAGTACTCATTCCTAATTTCTTTTTTAGCATTTCATTTTCTTAGATCGATTATTCTAATGAATATTTCAGCCTTCTTAATTCATTTTCGATAACATCTTTTTCTTACTACATTCTTTAAAATCTAGGTTACATTTCTTATAATTCTTAATGTTTAGCATCATGTATTCTTTTTAATTTAACTAATTCAGCTTATAAATCATCTATAGCTTTTCCTGATTTAGGATCTTAATTTTTAAGTAACTAATTGTATCTTAATCTCCAATCTTCTGCTTCTTTTGTTTTATAATCATGGGTAAGTTTTAGTTTACGTATTTAGTCTTCCATATCTGAAACTCCATTACTTCCTTAGTTTTAATTTTATAATTAATTTTAGTATTATTATAGTTTTAAACATTTATTTTTCCATTCCTCTAATTCAGCAGTTCTCATCTCTAAAATTCGTTTCATCTTTATAACATCCAAATTTTAGCTTTGTAAATTTTCACTTATAACTAATTAACCATTTATTCCTTATTTAGCTTTTAATTCTTCAACTTCCAATGATTTCATTTCATATAATTAACTCAATCTCTTGTATTCTTATTCAAGAATATTTTAACTAAAAGGTCTATTATAATTTTGATTTTCTTTATTTCTTACTTACATTTATAATGTTGCCATCTTATCTTTCCATTCTTGTGCTTCATATGCTTTTTATTCCAATACATCTCTCAACTTTTTCAAATCATCGACATTAAGATTATTTTAGTTATTTTAAATTTAGTTAAATTTCAATTTAATCATTTCTAATTCTTTTTCCTTTTACTCTAATAATTCTACAAATTCATAATCTTTCTACTACTTTAATTCTTTAATTTCATTCTTCAATTATTAATTTTCTTCAATAATTTTTTCAAAATCCACCTAATCAAATATTTTCTTTTTATTAGGACTTGAAATACTTGAATTTCTTAAAGATTACTATTCCGGTTACTATAATAGATTATTCTAAGAAATAGATAGTTATTATTTTTAATTATTAATAAGAGTTTGAATTTAACCTTCTAAATCTAAAATTTTTTTTTCATACTACAACTATTAGCTCACAGGAAGATTTTAATTCATTTATTCAATTATTTAATCTTTAGCTTTAAGATCAGCATATAATCTTCGAGCCAATTGTTCTAAAACACTTTTATGTAAATCAGGTTATTTAGCTAACATCTCAAGAACAGTTTCTTTAGGGGCAATTTACTTAGTTTTGATATAACTTTTATCTATTTCCAATTATTCAATCTATAAATACTATTTATCTATTTCAGCCTTTAATTATTTATTTTCATCTATTAATAAATTAATTCCTTATTTAAGTTCCTATATCTATTAATCCTTATCACTATCACTTATATCAAAATATTAATATTGTTATAATTATTATTATCCTTATGGCTATCTCTCTAATTAAACAATTCTTCTTCTAGCCTCTTCTAATTCAATATATAATTTCTCTCTTTCTGCAAATAATATTTTCAATCTCTATTCATCACCATAATTATTTTAATTTCTTCTAGGTCTACTCTTTAACTCATCATTTTCTTATTATAATTAAATTACAATCCCATGTAATCTCTTTAATTCATTTTCTACATACAATCTTTCATTATTCCCAAAAAAATTACTTTCCAAAGCTAAACATTTATTTCTCCAATTTTCAATTTCTATTTCTAATCTCTTTTATCTCTCTTCATTTGGTCTAAATATATTCTCCTTAAAATTAATAAAATCTTATTCTAAATCTCTATTTCTTATTTTTAATTATTCCATTTCTCTTCTTTTTTCATTCAATTATTATTCCATATTATACATATTAGATTCTTAATCTTATATTTTCCTTTCTAATTATTCTTTATCTCTTAATAATCTATCAAAAGCTTATAATTTCAATTAAATTCCTCTATTTTCTTATTCCAATCTCTCATTTTCTTCATTTGTTCTTATAAGTCTATTTTATAAATCTTCAGTTTTTCTCTCTATTTCATTAAGATGTTTGGAATCATTCTCTAGCTTTGTATATTTATCTTTCCATAAAATCAATTCTCTTTCCTATTCTAATTTCTATTATTTACATCTTTCCAATTCATTTTTTAATTATACATCATATTTCAATCCTCCAACCTATATTAACATACTTTCAATATCAGTTGATAATCCTCTTACTTTATCTTCATATGATCTTAATTACGCTGATAAATTATCTCTTTCTTATAATCCCTTCTATTATTCAAGCAATTATGACCTTAAATTCTCTAGTTCTTAATCTCTCTAAATCAATTATTAATTCAATCTTTATATTTCTTTACCCATAACTAATATTTTATTTGCTTCCTAACCTTATGGAAGATTTTATATAAAATCTATTGCCTATAATCTCACCTTCAATTAATCAAAATCTTTTGTTTTTGCATCAAATTGCTATTATAAAATATCTAAATTTCCTTATATAAGCATCTTATCATTATTTAAACGATTTATTTCTTATTGTAATTGAATTTATTATTATTATTAAGGTTAATATTGTATCTGCTAATTAAATTACTACAATTAATTTTATAGTTCTTGTGTCTACTATTTCAAACTTTAATTCTCTGACATCAAAACTTATAAATTTCTTCTTAAATCCTCTGATTATCTACCATCTGATCCTCTTATAGATTAAGTCATTTACATCATTTATCTCAAACTAATTTTAATTCATTATATCAATACCCTTCTATTTCTTTATTTTTGTTTTCTATTTCCTTTTATGCTTAAAAATATTTAGATTTGTATTCTTCCACTTATTATTTATGTAGATTTAATTCACTTATTAGATTTATCTTTTCCTAATCCTCTTATTACATAAATTTATTTAATTAAAATTTCAAATGATAAATAAGCAATAACTTCCAACGTCTCTTTTTTCTTTATATACTCTAAATTTATTCATTAGTCATTCATTTCTTTTTAATTGTCAATATTCATTATTGGATTTAAATATTTTATTTTTTATGTTTTTCTTTTTATCATTTTAATTTCTTCGGAAATTAAATCAAAAACTAGTTGAATTTTTATGAAAGTTTAACTTTGAATACTCATACTATATTATAGACATTTTATGCTTATAACATAAAAGCTAAACTCATTAAATATTCCAAAACCCTAATTTATTTAAAGAAAATCAGATAGAATTATTTTAATGTCATTACCATTATTTATCTGTTTATTAATACTCAAAATTTTAGGATTATAGAAATTTTTAATAAATCGATTGAATAAACACAAATTTATTTTTTATAAAACTATGTTGATAACTACTTTCAAGTAAAATACATTTGAAATGTAACAATTTCAGTTTTTCTATCAAAATTTGTTAAACAATAGTCTATTATTATATTCTTAAGAAATTAGAATCCTTCAACTAAAATCATGATATTTAACTATTTTATTAGTCTATATTTTAAAAAAAAAGAACTTTTGGATTTATTGAATTTCTTTAATTAATTATGATAATCAAAAAAATTGAAAAACTATTATGTTCCATTAACGAAAACTATTCTACAATTAAGAGTAAAAAAAATATATTTATGCAGGCACTGCTTAATTTTGCTTTGAAAATCCAAATGAGGCAAATTTTATAGTATTTCTTATTGAAAATGAAATGTAATAAGTTTAAGCAGATAAAAAATTACAATATCTTTTTTTGATTGATGAAATTTTTTTGTTGGAACTTAAATACAAAAGAGCTACTATTGATTTTATAAAAGCTTTTGGGATAAAATTGAAAAAAATGATTTAGGCTTTCCAAGTATTATCTAGTACATAATAATTTGACAAAGTCTTCAATTTAATCAATAAGTGGGAGAAAGAAATGATTTTTCATCCTAGTTTCACTATCAAACTCAGATGCATTCTGTTACCGAATTACTAAGTATTACAGAAGCAGTAATAATAATAATATTAAGAAGAAATATAAAAATAAACATAATATGAAAAAAATATGAAAATAATATAGGTTTAAATTATTCGAATATTACTAGTCTAATTCGCATTCTAATTAATGCTATAATCTCCTGAAATAAATGTAATAAATTGAAAAAAGAACTTTAGAATTTTAAAATAATAACAATAATCTTAATAAAATGAAAAAAATAAATTCAATGATAGAAGAAGGAGAAGAATGCAGAAAATTAGTTATAAATGTAGATTAATGCATATAATTTAGAGTATATGCCAAATTTAGTAACATTATTTAAGTATTTCTAATTAAGGGGAAGCATTATAAAAAGACCTATTCTCAAAAAATAAGCTAGAATTTTATAAGAGAATGAAAAAAAAGATATTTCACTGATTCTATATTAATAATTCTCACGTTATTATTTTTAATAAAGAAATTAATGATGTATCTCACTCTAAATTTTTTTTCTTCTAAGATAATTCAAACTAAGCAATTGTTTTGCTAACTTTCGAATTATGTAAGATTTTTTGTTTAAAAATCATGAAAGAATTTTTTTCTAACATCATTCTGTATATATAGGATTCTGCATTACAAGAAACATTAAATTTTTTTTAATTCTATCATTTTAATAACCAAAAATTTTTATAAGTAATTATTAGATGATAAAAAAATAATACTTTCTCACACTTGATTCCTCTCTATTAAATAGATGTATGAAACCTTCTAACTTATTATTTGAAATTTAGTTATTTATTATTTTAATTTTTAATAATGAAAAAAAATGTTATACTAATATGAACAAAACCTTTAATGAATTTCAAATTATATAAAAAAATAAAAATAAAATATCGATTTCATGCGAAATAAATATTTTAAAGTTTTTTTTGAATTTTCAAACAAGTGCTCAATTAGTTTGGATTATAATATTTTAGTTTTGTATATTTATTAATAATAAATGGACTTAAGAAATAAAAAATCTCAATCTCATCATCGAATTACAAGTTATCAATTTTTAAAATGTGGTTAATTTAAACAAGAATTACCTAAATTAACAGTACCTGCAACTCCAAGGAAAAAAAATTTGAGTTTAGACTTATTGAGTGAGGTTCGCAATTATCAAAAATAGAAAAATGTAATCGAATCTGGTCAACTTACATCAAGAGGTTTGAGGTAGATGCTAAAACCAAATAGTATTGCTATAATTTTAAATAAGAGCTTAAATGGGTTCATTAAGAAGTGAAATTAGATTCATAGTCTCTACTTCGTAATAAACTCACAGTTGCTGACTTTTTTCTTAATACTAAAAAGGGAAAGACTGAGTTAATGCCTTTTGATTTAATTTAATCAGATTCTCTCAAATAATTTCTTGGTAGATTGAAATGCCATATAAAAACTAGAAAATATAAATGATTTTATTGTGTTTGAGTTCTTAGACTATATTCATATGTGATTTTAGTATCTAATGTTTTATTAAGACACTATTAACGAACTAATTTAGAATTGATATTTTTGAAAATATATGTTTCAATGAAGTTTTAAAAATATAGTATGATGCTATAAAAACTTAACAAATTAGAAAAAATAGGAATAAATAATAATGAAATAAGTTTCATTATTAAATATAACAATAATTATAATTAAGAAATTGATTGATATCTTAATAATAAATGAATGTATGATTAATTTTTGATACGAATAATATATATGTTCAATCATTATCACTTTTTTCTGAGATTTTAGATTTTTGATTTCTAGGAATGAGCTCCCTTCAAATCCATTTTTTTAGTCATAATAATCTTAAAATGCCTATTGAATTTCTTCTTTTGTATTCATCACAAAAGGTCTATGTTACACAAAAGGTTCATTAATAGGTTCTCCAGCAATGATAATTAAATGACATTTTTATTATCCTGTTTTGACTTTTAGAATTTCTCCTTTATCATTAATATCTAAGTGAACAACTTAATGTTAATTTGCATTTTAACCAGCAAATATACCTTATCCATCATGTATATAACGTATGGAATTACATTTTAATGAAATCTTTTATAAGAATTCAGAATTTTCATTTAATTTAACATTTAAAAAGAAAGCAGGAGTTATTGTATATATAGGTCCTTTAACACCTAAGGCTTCTCCAGCAATAAAACATACTAGAACACCATTTTATTTAGCTTCTGCTATAAGTTCTTTTTTAATTTCTTAATATTATGGTTCGATCATTTTGAATTTAGCTTGTAAATTAATCCATAATTAAAAATCAGAAGTTAATTCATCTTAACTACCTGACATTTCAGTATGCATAACTCCTTTTCCAGCTATCATCCATTAAATATCTTCTGGTTATAAATGGCCTGAAAAACCTTTACTGTCTTCATGATAAATAGAACCTTTTAATAAATAACTGACTGTTTCAAATCCTTTATGAGGATGATCAGGAAAACCTGCAGGTAATTTTACAAATGCAGGATCAAGCATCATAAAAGGATTTAAACTACTAAGGTTATTATTTCCTAAACTTTTACAATTCCAATGTTTACCTATTATTCGTATAACTTAAGCACCTTAGCCTTCAGGAACAGTTGGAGGAGTAAATATATTTAATACTCTCCTAGACATTATTAATTAATTTATATGCATTCAAAATAATCTTAGCTATTTCAAACAGGTACAGATTCTTTAAAAAGGGAAATATAAGAAGCTTACGTATTTTAGATCAAAAAATAAAATTCTAACGAAGACTCATTAATAGGAGAAAACATCAAAAAATTAACTCATGAAGTAGCCACTATTATACAACCAATCGTTATTAAATAAAACGATAAAGCAATTCAGTGTGAAGATCGAAATTATGACTTAATGAATTCTCTTTTAAAATTAAAGGATAAATCAATAGAAGAATATTAAAGATAAATTTTAAGTTTTAAGAACATGATCATTTAAATTGATCATTAGAAAAAGAAACTACTGGATATATTAGAGAAATAAGATCCTTTGAACACTAATCAAATAGGAATTAATTCTCAAAATACTGAGAAATTATCTTATAAATAAATGATTTCTAAAAGTCAACAAACGGAAATTGATTTTGGAATTAAATATACTTAGAACTAAGTTAATTCATAAATTATTTCTCAAAAATTTAATTCTAAATCTATATAAACAGAATCGAAGTTCTATACAGAGATAAATATGCTAGATTAAGATGAAATACATCAAGAGATTGAGTAATATAAAGTTATTCTTAGAGAGTATGATTTAGAAAATAGAAAACTGAAATAATAAATCTAATAATTATAACAATCTAAAACATAAATTAATAAGGATACTCAAACAGTTATAAATCATGTTGAACAGGTTACTTAAATAGATGATGAAATAAAGACAGAATTTGACAAGATTATTTAAGAATTTAACTAAAATAAAAATTTACTTATTTAAATAAACAAATAATATAACTAATAAACAAAGGAGTTAGATATCTTAAGAAAATAATATGATTCAATATTAAGTGATTATTATTTTATATAATCAGAGAATAAAGTTTATGATAAAACTATTAATTAATTAAATGATGAAATTGAGTAATTAAGATTGGAACTATAAACTAAAGATTAAAGTATAAGCAGTGCTGACACACTTACATCTCCAAATGATTCATTAAGAAGTTATAAAAAGAAAGGTTCACAATTTAAACTAAATTTTATTAATTCAACTTATTTTAACCCTCAAAATATTGATGAATTAATATTGGTTTAATAAGAAAACTAAATATTAATTGTTAAAATATCCGAATTAAAATCCTAATTACTTGAAGTTCAAAGAAATCAAAAAAATATGATAGAAGAGATAAATCAGAAAGATGATTTGATTAATTTTTAACAGTAAGAACTACAGAAATATCAAAATGATTAAAAAGATTATCAAAGAAGAATGGAAAATCTATAATAATTTGAATAATATTTGTTGTAGAAAGAGAATTAGTATTAATTTGAAATGCAAAGTTTATAGTAACAAATGAATGTTTTGAATTAAGAAAATGGAAGTTTGAAGATTATAAATTAAACATTACATAAATAATTGGATAAGTATTAGATTAAAAGAGTGCTTTAGCTTTCAAAATGATTCTCTTTTAAATTATATATAAATATTAATGTAATTAACAACACCTATAAGATTAGCTGAATCCAATTATATAGGAGCACCAAATGTTTCAAATTATCCTCTTTTGCCTTAATCAATTAAAAGTCCAAATGTAAGTGCAGCTTCTGGGAATAATTCATCATAGAAAGCTAAATCAGATTCAAAATAAAATAATTAAATGGTTTCATCTACAGCTAATTAAATTCTAGAATTTGATTCAATTGAACCAATCTAAATTTAATGCGATAACTGTCATACATTTAGTAGTTCAATTGTTCATGTGGAATACACTATATATACATATATATCTGCTTTATTATTGATGTTAATATGCCTTTGTTGGATTCCTTTAGTAATGAAGAAACATTTTATGAAAATTAGTCATAGTTGTCCAACATGTGATCGTTTAATTGGAGAATATGATTATTTGGGTTCAAAATTTAATAAATAATGATTTGTAAAATTTATAATTTTCATTACAACATGTAATTCTTCCTAAGTGTTTCATTAGTTTATTTTAAAGCTTTCTATATCCTATAATCTAAATCTGTTTTTGGAGTTGTTTCATTTAATTTTTGAATCATTTCTTTATTTTTTACAGATTAATTAGGAGTAAACATCAATTAAGATTATTATTCTTATTATTTAACAATATTTATTGGGCTAGAAGTCTTAATAATTTATCTTGGACTGCTTTATATGATTGTTATTTATTATGGAAGAGGTTATTAAATAGGAGTTTATAATTAGGCAATCCTTCTAAAAGTAAAAGGAGAATGAGAATGACGAGGTTAAATTGTTCTTGTTAAAGGTGATTAAGATGTTCTATAAATATATCTTTAACTTGATGTTATTGTTTTTGGAGGACTGGATAATAGTTTTTATTATAAATTAACTTGTTTATTTATCTAAAACATATAATCAGTTCTTTATTATGGAGATTAAAATAGTAAATTTTGAATTTTATTAATTAATTTATTCGAGTAATTTGTACATCTTAATAACTCATTAACTAGTTATTAATTGACTTGATTTTTAAAATAGACCATTTCCATTGATGTTAATGTCATTAAATGAAGCATTGTTATTCCTAAACTATATGATGAACTTTTGAATGGATTAGGTTATAAATTTGATAACTATGGCTATATTTGTTCTGGTGCATAATATCTTTGCTAGTTTTGAGTGTTATCTATCACCCATTATTAATTCAATTTAATTGTATCATTTGGAGTCAAAAAAATATTCTATTTATCATAAGTTATACTTAAGGTCTGATATCATCATGAAAAATTTATTATTATTAAAGGTAGGCTAACGCTGAAACGAATTGATCAAACATCTGTAAAAGTTCATGCTCTTGGTAATAGTTCTTAATTATACTTCATCATTCTTACATTATTCATTTTTCTTCTCTATATGTCTTATTATAAATCATAATCATAATGCTCAAAATATATTAATACATTAAGCTAATCTACTTCATATTTGTGCAATTTTATTATGTTCTTATGATTTATTTATTGACTTAATTGACATCGATGAATGCAATTAGCTAATTAATCAGGTGCATTATTAAAGTCAATAGCCTTTTAAATTATCAATGAATTTTCGTATGTGAATTTATTCACCTTTCCATAACGTAAGTCATTTGTTATTTGCGTGTCTGAACTGTTCCCCATTTATCGTTAAAAATATAATTTATATCAATTTAAATAATATCAAAGATAAAGATGAATTACTACATGCAAAAAATAATTGATAAAGTTAAAATAAAAAAAACCGCAAATAATAGTTACTAAGATAAAGTTTATATTAATCATAATAATCGGAATAAATATTGTCATTATTTCTAGTAATAATAAAAATGCTTTTTATCTAATATTTAATTAATTTCTACATAAATCTAATTAATTATTAAAATCATCTAATCTTTGAGTTTTGAGCAGAGGTAAACTCATTCTTAACAATTTTATTTTTAAATTAATTTTGCTGAAGTTTAAATTTTATGGTCTCATAAGATAAAATGGATACTAAATTTTAATTTTTCCTTTCAATTAACAATGCTGAATTAGGAGTCGCAATTTTTCTTTTGAATTGAAGATATTTGCAAAGCTTAATTGAAGGTCTAATATAATTTTACAAGAGAAAGGCTATTAAGATAGCAAACAGACCTATGGATACATATTATAATGTTTATTAAAGAATAATCATAAGTAAAGTAAATTATATAATATTATAATAATAGTTTGTACAATATTAAAGCAAATTATGTAAAAATAATATTTAAAAAAATAGGGATTAGATATTATCAATAAATAATGGAAAAGAGAGAAAAGTTCGATATAATGATAAAGACTAAATCTACTTAAGACTAAATAGCTTCTTACTTGGTGAAGGCCGTATTAGGCTTAAGAGATAGAGAAAATAAGAGTGAATCAGTCAGACTCTTTGGAAGTGGATCAGCAATTCCAAATGTAATTTTGGTTGCCGAAATAATTAGAGCTAGATATAAGGTAATAAATAAATTAATGATAGGGATTAAGTTCAATTGTCACATTAGAGAATATGGAGAGGGATAAAAATGAGAATGGTTAAACAATAAAAATAATAATTCCAGCTATTAGAATTAAATTGACGTATTTATTATATTTATTGTAGAGGCAAACCAACTTAAGAAGAATAAGAATTGGCTGGATATTAAGCCCCAGGATATGTGGATGATAGCAAAAAGGTTGAACTTTTTGAATATGTTATGATATATGCCAAAAATTTGTATTTTTGGAGTGGAAAAGATAGATAGAGATAAAATAATAATAATAATACATCTTATAAATAACCTGCTTAATAAATTGAGAAATCTGACAGAGGAATTTAATCTAAAGATGATCTTCCAGAAAGAGGAGAAATGAAAATTAGAGGAGGAGCTAATATTTAGAAAAAACAAGATGATTTCAAAAGAAAACCTGACCAAACAGAATATGATGTATTTATTTAGTTTACACATTAGGATAAAAAGGATAGAGATTATAGAGAATAATAGAGAAATACAAATAGTATAAGACCAAGACCTTATAATCAATCTAAATAAAATATATCATAAAAGAAAGATGAAGAAATCAGGACTAAATAAGGTGAAATCAGATCTAGAGGAGGTAGCAGGAAATGATTCATATAATTTATTAGAACAATATATACATTTTAAATAAATACTAATTATTTGTTATCTTAAAATATTGTACTAATATTAAATTAAATCATTATTAGGTTAGGATATCAGAGTCACCTGCATCAATGATGGCTAAGCTTGAACATCTGTGTAATTTACCACATGCGGTACCTATAATAAGATTAAATCACTCATCCCAATTAATTTAATCAAAGAAGAACTAAGCCTCCCTCAAAACCCCCGTACCTAAATCAACGTTGTTTCCTTGATATAACACAATGGTGATTTATGCCAACATTGCATAATATTCAATTTGGGTCTTTCTAATTGTGGGACAATTGTTAGAAATGAATACTAATTTTGCTGTACCATTTCTGATTGCCTTCAATGTTTGCTTATATCCCATTGTGATCTTTCCTGATCTAACAACCAATTAAAGTTTTTGATTGACACTCTCTTAAGCAACATTCTTAACCATTTTAAAATTAATTTAAAAATTTTAATATCATTTATTTTCATTATCATTTTTTCAATAATTCTAAGAAATACACACTACATTAATTTTAATGAGCAAAATATCTCAAGAGGCATTCGAGTATCTTAATAAACTAAGGCAAAATCCAAAATTAGCCATTCCTAAATTACAAGAGCATTTAAAACTCTTTAAGGGAAATGTCTTATAAAAACCAGGAGAAATAGCTTTACAAACAAATGAAGGTCCTAAAGCTGTTAATGGTATTTTTTTTTTGAGATACATACTAGAGTGTATATCCTTCTTATAAAACCAGAAGGCTCTTGGTCCTTTGACTTGGAGTAAAGGATTGGAATGTGCAGCAAGAGATCATGTTAAGGACACAGGACCAAAAGGAGTTACAGGTCATACAGGAACTGATGGATCATCTATGAGTGATAGAATAGAAAGATATGGTGAATGGGATGTAACTGTTGGGGAAAACATCAGTTATGGATAAACAACAGGAGAAGATGGTACTATTTAATTATTATTTTAGTCATCATTTAATTAATTATTGATGATGGGGTTTCATCAAGAGGACACAGAAAAAATTGTTTTAAAGCAGAATTTGGTGTTGTTGGAATTTATGATGGAGAACATAAATAATATAAAACATAATGCGTTTTTGATTTTGCAGGTTCATTTGAAGATAAACCAGGGCTTGATACGAATGCCCCTTCACAGAATGTTCAATAACCAGAACAATCTTAAAATAAATAAAAAGATGTTCCTGCTGCTTAAGCTTAAACAAAAGATCCAGATGATAAAATTACTCAAGATGCTTTTGATTATTTAAATTATGTTAGATAAAATCCAACTTCTCCTATACCTAAACTATAAAGCTTAATGAAATTATATAAGGGAAATGTGTTACACAAACCTGGGGAAATACCACTTTAAACCAATGAAGGTACGAAAGTAATTTAAGGTAATATTTTAATTTAATTATTAGAATTAATTGGTTTTCTGTAAAAACAATAACCCTTACATCCATTAACATATGATAAAGGATTGGAATAAGCTTGTGCCGACCATGTTAAAGATACAGGACCAAAAGGAGTATGTGGACATACAGGAACTGATGGATCTTCTCTTTAAGATAGAATTGAAAGATATGGAGAATGGAATGGAAAAATTGGAGAAAATATTAGTTATGGATAAAAAACAGGAGAAGATGTTATCATATAATTACTAATCGATGATGGTGTTGGTTCTAGAGGACATAGGAAAAATTGTTTTGGTTAAGATTTCAGTCTTGTTGGTATTGCTACGGGTGATCATAAAACTTATTAAACTCAATGTGTTTTTGACTTTGCCACTGAATTTACTCCTTAAGGATAATAGCCTAAATAATAATCAGGAAATTAAGGAAAAACAGTTGTATTAGGAGGAAAAGGAGGATATGTAGGAGCCGCTCCTTAATAAGAAGAAGAAGAGGATGGTATATATATCTTAATATTTAGAATAATTACCTCCTGGATGTGTTTCCGTTAGTACGTCCTCTGCTGTCAGTATGAAAGGAGGACAAAAAGTTACAAAAATTACCAAAACCTATAAATTTAAGGATGGAACTACTAAGACTGCTGTTTAGACCATCACAGGTTGATAATTTTTATTAAATAATTTAATATTCAGTTTATTTTAATGTTAAGTTTTAATATTATTTCAAATTATTATATACTTAATTAAACCCATAAAATCTAATTACAATTCTGTCTAATTTATAATCAAATCAATTTTATAAAACTTGGAACCCTTCGGGGTCATCCGTTAAATTGGAACGTAACAGAGAAGATTAGCATGGCCCCTGCGTAAGGATGACACGCATTAAGCGAGATGGTAGCTCATTTTTTTTTTATTCCATAGAATTATTTTACATTTAAATTTAAAACTTTTTTATTTTGTATTTGTATCAATAAAACATTATTGTTACAATTAATCAATTCTATTATTTTTCAATTCTCTCCAAATATACCCCATACTCAATCTAAGAATTTTTACTAAGCTTATTCTGAGATTAAAATGATGGATTTTATGCTGCTTAAAGGCTATTCAAAATTCAATACAATGATAGAGATCTCTTATTAAAATCAAGAACTTTTCATTATTAATTAATAAATATATGTGATAATTTGTTCTTCAACATCGTAAAATTAAAGCCTTTGTCTAATTTAAAACTTAATCGAAAAATATTTTAAAGAATTTACTTTTGATTAAAGCTAATTTATTTTGAATTGTAACCAGAATGTCTATTTAATTTTATTTCACTATTAAATAAATCCCTTAGACTTTTAATTCAATTTTATTGTTATCTTTTATTTTTAATTATAAAAGAAATTTGGTTTTTTATGAAATTAGATATATAGGGACTTAAATCAATACTTATTTAAGAAATCAATTATATTAAAACTTATATTTAGGGAGTTTTGATTTTAAGATTCATTAAAACTAATTTTTAGTTTTTTTAAATTTTAATAATTGATAAGATTAATTCTTAATTCTTCTAAAGATCAACTTTAAATTGAGATATGAATTAAGCCCATTTTTATTTTTCAAATGCAATAAATTAGTTCGAAAGATAAATAATACCTTTGTGTAGTTTTGGAGTATATTTAGTATATATATTATAAAAATAATTTAAAAGGAATTAAAAAATAAAAAAGATAAGAGTATAGATGATATTCCAAAAGTCAAATAATCAATGAATAAAAATTTAAGAATAAGATTTAGAAAAAAGGTATTTAATATGTAATTATAGGATTATCTTTGACTATAAATTTATTTTTCTATTTTTTTGTTTTATATGTATTCTGAACAATTATTAATGGCCAATCATTAAATATATAATAAGTACTGCAATTATCCTAATTCAAGAAGAAAAAATTGATTAATTAAAAATGTAAAAAAATAGAAATGGAATAACTTCCAAAAGGTTTAATAATAAAATAACTTTAGCTACTGTTTAACAATTTATCAAAAGTTCTACAAATGGAGATATGAAGTGCTCTAATGAATTCGTGACTTAGGTGATGTCAATGGCTAGAGAGTATATCTAAGTAGTATCTGATCAAGCTAATACAATTTGTTTAGAGTAAGGAAAAAAGACAATATCAGGAGAATTTTTCTACAAGGCTATATCTAAGTTAAAGTTAGACAGTTAGATTCCTCATCTAAAAGAGATAGAAGAAGAAATAAAAGAAGAAGTGAATGTATAATTCAATTTTATTTTAAGGTGAAAAATTAAAATAGAGCAAGGTTTTAAGATGAGGAGCACTTGAAATAGTTAGAAGAACAATAGAAATAATTATATGAAAAAGCAAAATTGGAGAATAGTAAGAACATGATTGATGATGAAGAATTTGGCAAATCAAGGAAATTAAATATATAATTTGAATAAGATGATGAAGATTAACAATGAAATTAATCATTAAAATAAAAGTATAGATCTTATAATTCACTCAACAGACTTTATTACAAAATGTACTTTAAGCTATTGAAGATAAGCCATCTTCATTCATTTCTTATATTTCTATTACTTAATTATATTATTACCACTCATATTTAAGGTGATATCATAATCGGTTTAGCATTTTTATTATTAATCTTAGCTTTGGCAATTGCCAATTTCTAAGAATTTAGCTTATTACTAAATCTATTGTTTATTATATTCTGAATGATATTTTGGGATTATTTTTTTAAAGCATTAAAATGATGATTTCTTAAAAGATTACTCTTACTAGAAATTATTTTTATTTTTTGATTATAATTAATCAAATATTAAATGTTATTTGCGATTATTTAACGAGTTAAAAGCCAAATACATTTTTCTGTTATATATCCCTGGCTAATTTTTTTCTGTCTAAATTATTTTGTTTATGCAAACTCTACTTTATTATTATTCTTATTAAGTTTTTTCAAGCAAATATGAAAATTTTTATTAATGTACAAAAAGCTATTTTGATAATCCTTGCAATTCGATGGGTTACTTAAATAATTTTATGCAATACAATAAATTATGATAAGTTTTTTTTATTTAATGTAATACTTCGTTTTCGAAAGGTTTAGAAATTTTAGGATGAAACTGTGTCTTTAGGGGATTTATTTGGATTCTGATGGAATGATAGACTATTTTATTTTTATGTAGTTGGGGACATTAAAATAGGAGGGAATTAAATAATAGGCTTAGAACTTGATGTATGTGATTGTTGAAAATTGATTATTGGAAAATCAGAATCTGTCTTAAGTATCCTTCTTTTTTTAAGTTACATGGTCTATTTAGATGAATTTGTTCTTAAATAGATTAATAGATATTATTATTGTAAAATTTGAATTAGAAGAGTATTTTATTTAGGTTATATTAGTTCTGATGAAATCAATAATCAAAAAAAAAAAACAAAATGCTCATTCATCTTTAGCTTTGTCTAATACATGAATTGGAGCTTAATATTTATAAAAATTGAATACCTAAGACTTATGTCTTATTAGTTTCCACGATTTGACCATTCATAACCATTTCTTCCAAAATATAGTGAGCTTTTTCAATATTAAACATTATCTAAATAAATAGATATATAGATATATACATCTAATTCGCAAACATTTTCAAAATACTTATCTAAAGTTTCAACCAAATTATGTATGAATTCTAAATATGCCATTTCATTCTTAATAATAACAATATAGAATTACTTCTTCTTCTAGATCCATTCCAATAATAAAATAAAGAGAGGCATATCTTCTGTAAATAATCTTAAAAATTAAATAAGTTATATACCTTGTATCCTCTGTGTTCAAGAAAACTACATTGGGTTTCACTTCTAGATAGACATTTTCTTATCAATTCACCTTCAAGTGTCATTCTTTCTTTAACACTCAGAAATTAAAAATATTAAGCTAATCTTGTTTGTCCTTACTTATTCACCATGAGAATGAAATTGATCATGCTTATAAAAATATTAATTATATGGAAACTAAAAAAATTACATTAGCTAATTATAATATAATGAAAACTTTAAATAATGGTTTATTTGGAATGTGAACATTAAAAAAGCAAAAATCAATCATAATCTGTTTCTTAAAATGCTAAATTAAATATCAAATTTGAAATGAGTAGATGAGTTTATTTTTTTAAGTAAATTTGAATCAATTTTTTAGCAAATATTGGAATTAAATATATTGAATTGAAATGAATTTAATGAAGTATTGATAGTTTATAGGAATATCTTTATTTAAAATTCAAACAGTCAGAGACTTGAATTTGATGTTATTTTGTTATAATAATTTTCTTTCAAAAAATAATGATTTGATAATCATTTTGAGAATATTGAATTTTCAGATACAATTATATAATAATAAAATAATTCTTTTGGAAAAATCTGAGTAAAATAAGTATTGATATGTAGAGAGAGTATATAATAAGAAATAAAATATGATAGAATGATGAGATAAGAGATTAAAAAATTGAATGGATATTTTTGAATAACTTGATTAGTTATATGAATCATCTTCCAGACCATGAGGCAACTTGTTTTTTGAACATGATGATAACTTCTTCAAGGATGGCATTTTCTTCATCTCTTTTGGCTTTAGCTTCAGCATAATCAGCTCTTTTATTTTCTAAATCAGCTTAAGCTTAATCAAGTGCATCTTATGATTCTTATAAGATGATTTTAGATTTGGCTTGTTATGCTAAGGCAGCTTAGATTTACTAAAGATGAATAATAATAATTATACAGTAGCTAATCTATCAGCAAAGACTTATTTTCTTTCATATTCAACTTTAAGATTAGCAATTTCAGCTTCACTTAATGAAACCCAGCCAGCTAATTCCCATGAGGCATTGATTTCATTAACTTCAAGAGCTTCAAGTGAAGCTTATAGATTAGCTTCAAGTGATTCAAGGACAGCAAGAACTCTTTCAGCAAGTGTAGCTCCTCTGCTAACTCCTTCTTCTTATTTAGTTTATGCTAAACTCAAAAAGGTTTTGATTTCTTAATCATTAAAAAGATTGCTATAGCCTTTTAATTTTTAAGCAACAGAAGTAGTTTTTTCTTAGACAAATTCTAATGAATCTCCATTAATGATATAACCAGCAACATCTTATTTAAGAACTCTAACAACTTCAAGAGCCTCTCTATTTTATTTGATTGATCTAACAAAGAGTTAATTACTAAGACATTATTCATCAAGAAGAACATTAATTTTTCTAGCAATTTCATCTTATCTTTATTCATTCCAAGCAAGATAATTTTTAGTATCTTAAAGTTCTTATTCAAATAAGGCTCTATTTTCAACTGATTATTAAAATAATTTTTAGTTGAGTGATTTGATTTTAGTGAATTATTCAATTGTTCTAAAATTAAAGATTATAATTACTAAGCTCCAACCCATTCATCTGTTTCATTCTTTTAATCAGCAGCAAATTAAGCATCTTTATTTGATTGAATAAGATCATTCAATAAACCAAAAACAGTATCAATGGCATCCATAGCTTTTGTACCAGTTTGGAGAAGAGCCATTATTTAATCATGAGTTGATGTTGCAGATGCAATGCTTATCAACAAGAGAATTGCAAGAGTAGCTTTCATTTATTAATATTTATTATGTTTGTCATATGATTCTCAATTTATTTAATTCTCAAAAACGGGTAAAATGGATGATGAGGGATTTGAATCTGCTTTTATTGAAACCTTAATAACTTAATAAGATAAGTAACCCACATATGTATTCACTTCTCTACCCACTCCCAATCCTATTGTATACTAATCAGACTATAGAGGAGTGACAAATGACATTCAAGATATTCAAAAAACATATAAATGTGTTTATAAGAAATAATATGGATCAAAACTCACTAATCAACTTTTTAAATTTTTAAATCTCAATGATTTACAAATACCTACCATTACTTAAACCTAATACTAACTACTATTTGATTCTAATTTTACATCTGGAAATCTAGCTGCAGTTTATTAAGTCGATTCATTTGAATATGATTTGCTTCTTTAAGAAGACTTTAATACTACCAGTTATTCATAATGGTTTTATTTTAGAGTTAATAATCCTTACGATCATAAATACAGAATTAACATCATTAATTTAGTAACTTATTATATATAAAACAATAGACAAAGCATTATCTCCAATATCAAAATGGTTTTGGAATCTATATTAAATATAATTCTAATTGGGAAGTACTTAAATCTCAAATATTAATCAAATAATCTTCATATGTTAAATCGAACTTCTGTAGAACAACTTCCAATAAATTATACACTCTCTCTTTCTGGATAAATAAATCATACAAAACATTGGAAATTGCTCTTGGAATCCCTTATTCTCATCTTGATTTGGATAGATACTTACTCAAATTTTAAACTGAAATCCTTTCAAATACAATTTCAGGATTACCTGTTAGAATGCTTTAATTTGGATCCAAAAGAAGTGATGTTATATTAGTTATTGCACGTCAACATCCAGGAGAAACTGTTTCTTCTCATGTATGTTAAGGTTTTTTAGAAGCACTTTCAAATGACAAAACACTACAATTATTTTATAATATAATTGTTATACCAATGGTTAACCCTGATGGAGTGAAATGGGGTAATTTTAGATGTGATCTAAGTGGAAGAGATTTAAATCGAGTTTGGTAAAATCCAAGATCCAAATTTCATCACTAAATCATCCAAATTAAAAATCTTATTCAAAAAATCTTAGATGAAGGTAGAGATATTAAGACTTTTATTGATTTACATGGCCATTCCAGAAAACTGGGAACTTTTATGTATGCTTGTAGAAATTCTGATGATCCTATTGAATGTAGAGTTCTCCCCATGATCATGGCTGAAAATTCTAAATATTTCGATTTCAATTCTTGTACATTTAATCTGAAATCATATAAGTTAAAAACTGCAAGAGCTTTTGTATATAATCAAATGTAAAAGTATAACCCTAACAGTTTTCATAATATTGTTACTCTTGAAACTTCATTTTTTGGTTATAAAGAAGAAAACAAATTTATTTAATTCTCTTAAAATGATTTAACATAAATTGGGAAAGATTTACATCAATCTTTAAAAATTTATCATATGTAATTAGAATAAAAAAATAAAATATTCAAAGACTTAGAATTAAATAAAAAATATTTTTAAAAATAAGATGAAAATTAACCTTCTGATGATAGTGATTCTGAAGCTGAAATTGGAATAATTCCAGATGAAGAAATTTAATCTTAATATACTCTTATTGATAAATCTGATAGATTGTTTTAAGGCCCTCCAAAGACAAGTGCATTAAAAAAAAGAAATTTAAAAAAAGCCATAAATCCATTCTTAGTAGGACAATGTGAAAAAAAATACAATTTTCATAAATTAACAAGAGGAGATAGCAAATCTTAAAAAGTTATAAATTAAACACTTTAAATTTAATAAAGTTTATCCCCAAGTTTAAGTAGCATAAATAAAATTAACAGAAATCTATCTTCACATAATAAAGATCATGTTCATATGCATTCAAGTAATGCAGATAATTATGACAGCGTTCAATCATGTAGATTATTAAGATAGAGTACAATACGAACACCTAAAGAATTTAAACTTAAATCAGAATAAAGAAACTAATTTCATAGTCCTAATGACAAGCTCATAATTTTCGAATAAAATTTGAAAATAAAAAGAAAGAATACCCAAACTATAAAATTTTTTTGAATATATATTAATTATATAGATTTGATTATGATGTTATCTAATTTATCAAAATTATTATTGAATGAATTATAAAAATTATATTTATTAAATTTTTATGGAGTCAAGTTCTCCAATATAAGTAATTATCTATAATAATTATTAGGCAAGTATTATTTCACATAGAAATGATCCAAATGATGATACAATATACTATAAGATATAAATAAAAAATAAAACAAGCGATGTTTGGGAATTAGAAAAAAGGTATTTGTGTAATTGAATTAGATTTTCCCAATTTGAAGATTTGGCAAAGAAATTAAAAGTTCTCTTTGGTGAATAATTGCCAACACTTCCAAAAAAGAAATATATAACATTTTTAGTAGGTAAGACACCTGAAGACATAGAGAAAAGAAAAGCTGGCTTAGATGAATTTATTCAAGTAAGAATAATAAGAGTATGATGAGAATTTAGCAAGCAGACCAGAAGTAGTTGCTTCTGAACCATTAAAATAATTCTTAGAATTAGAAAAGAATGCAAAAGAAATTTTAGTGAATCCTCCTAAATTATTATTTGAATTCAAAGGATTTTTGCATGGAGTTAGAGATTTTACAGTAAGTACAGAATAAGGATTGATGTTTGTAATAACATCTGATTGTTCAGTAATAAATAGATTGGATGCTTATTTGACAAATATGAAAGCTCCATGGGAATCAGAGAAAGGAGATTAGGCATTAATACCAGTTGGATGTGTTGAATGTTGGTTATAATAAGAAAACGGAGATTTTTAAAGATTATGGGTTAAAATGTACAATTCTTAAGCCATTACTTGTTATTGGAATCCTGTAGCTTCAATTTTGTTGGTAGGATTAGATAGTGGATCAATTAATTATTTATACGTTCCTGAAAAAGAAGGATTTAAGAAATTTACTGAAAGTATGGAAATTGAATAGCATACAGACAGAGTCATGGGATTATATTATGATGTTAAAAGAAAATACTTGCATTCAATTTCTAAAGATAGAAAATATAGAATTTTAAATCTAAGGAAAGGGGAATTAGTTGCAGGTGTATTAATTTTATTATTTTTAGATATTGAACCTGATTAATATGAATTAACATGTTTATTGGGATGTGATGAAAGAAAGAAAACTTTTGTTGGAGATAGGCATGGTGAAATATATATTTATGATATTGAAAAAGTATAGATTTATAATATATTATTTAGAAAAGACCTAAATTAATCATTAAGATTCCAACGAATTAATTATTTATTCGTGGGTTTTTCATAGATAACTAAAGGAATTATCTATTTTCAATTAGTCATGAAAATGGAGTTATTTTGATTATAGATATTTAATTACCTGGCAGAGAATAATATTCTAAAGAAGTTGCTTAATTAAATGGAAAATCAAAAAGCAGAGAAATTGGTTGGTCATCAAAAAGAGGAGAAATCTATGTTGGTAATATTGATGGTACTGTTACTATATGGGATGCTAAAAAATCTCGATAATTATGTAATAATATTTCTTAATTTAGATGTGCTAAAAGCGCATGATTCAGATATCACAAAATTATAATGGCTTGATGCTGATTAAACTCTTTTGACAGCTGCAAAGGATAAAGTCATAAAGGTTTGGTCTATGCCATAATATTGGAGAGATCCAAAAATTGTGGAAAAAGAATTAGAACAAGAATAATTATAAGCTAAACAATAAAATGCAGACTTTATCTATAAGAATGTCTAAAAATAATTTGATTAAAAATTCTAAGACGAAGATGAGGATGATATGGCTGTTTGGCATAAAGATTAATAAAGACATTCAGATACTAAGTATGAAGATATTGTTGAATTAAAATGAGTATTATTTAAGTTTATTACTCTCCAATATTATAGATTTTTAAACCAATATTATATTGTTTTCCTTTCTAATTAAAGTTCCATTTATTATACTCACTTTAAAGCTTTTATATCTATTTATGTTATGTTTTTATATTTAAATAACTTAAGATTTTACAATAGTAAGAAACTGCATTCTATTATTATTAATGCAAATTAAAATTTAATTCAATATAATCATTCATTAATTGTTATGATTTTTCATCTAGAAATATCAAAAGGATTAAATGATGAATTTATATTAAAATTTGGTTAATAAATTTTTTAAAATATTTCTATCAATTTAATAGGTTAACTTAAAGATATTTTTTATATCTCTATATTATAAATTCTAGAAAGATTTTTATAATCTAGTATACAATCAATTTTTTTAAATTATTCTATGATAGATTTTTGGTCGTCTGACTAATCCTAAAATTAATCCAATTGATTTCTGATAGTTATCTCTTTTTTAATTATATCAGGATGATTAATTTGATTATCAAAATAAAAAATTTGATTAAATTTATTTAAAAACCATACAATAAAAATTATATCTCAAGAATGTGATAAATATTTATTTTTATCTTTACTAAATTTTTGTTAATTTTAACTTATAGCATTTATTTTTGCCATAAGCTAGTTTTATATTAATAAAATGTTATTTATATTTCTTGTGAATCTCAAATTATTTGTTACTTGAATTTAAAATGCACCAAATTCTAATTAATTAATTTAAATAGTTTCATATTGTAATCATAACCCTTAAATATTAGCTGAAATAAATAATATGCACTTTCACTTCTTGAGTTTACATAATTATTATAGAATAAAATTTTATTATAAAGGATTATAATAATGTATTTAAATTTTTTAATAAATTATAAATTGTACTTTAACTTCTAAAAATATTATTAAACTCTAAAACTTATATTATAATAAATTTATTCGAATAATTATTTTCATACATAAATATTTTATTTAGAGACTTACAATTTATAAAATATTTAGTTAAATGAGACTTAGTTAGATGTAGACCTTAAGAAGGAAACTCAACTATTCCAAATAGAGTAAGATCAATACTTAAAATAAATTTTAGATGAAACCTAAATTTGATTATTTTTGGGTTTCTCCTAAAAAAGATGCTCCAGATATTATTTCATCGGAATTTGAAATCAAATAATATTTTAATAAATAATAAATTAGTAAAATATTCAGATTTTTGAATGTCTAGACTAGATTGATTCCTTCTACTCCAAACAACCCAAAAGAAAGAGAAAGATAAATAGCATAGTATAGTATAGTATAGTATAGAGCTCCAGAAATGTTGGTGAAAAAATAATATTACAGTTGTGAAATTGATAGTTGGTTTTAGCAAAAAGGTTTTAAGGACCCTTATGTTTACTAACAAAGCCAAAATTAAGTACAAGATCTTCTTATTTTCTGGAATATCAGAAGATTTTATAGTATTGTTTGGTTTGAATTCTAAAAATGATTCAATAAATTCATCAAAATAATTATAATTTTCTTAAAAGGATGTAACTTTTGATAGATTTTAAAATTTTTGGTAATTTATCAAGTTATAACCAAAAATGAATTATTTAGAAGTTTGTATGCAGAGACATAAGCATTTAAATCTAAGAGATATTTAATTTAATATTCTAAATTCTGAGATTATAATTAGAACCTATTTTAAATGTTAAATTTTGATTTTATTATATATATATATATTGTGCTGCTCATATTTCTCCTTTCAAAGACACTACTTTTCGTACTTATCGTTGAATGATTAATTAGAGCTGTGTACAAGACTAAAATAAAAAATATTTTTTACGAGTTTCCCATCTTGTTGAAAGCGTTGATGTCATCATTCAACTTAGTCTTCTTAATAGTATGTGGTTCTTATTAAGTGCTGTCATAATGTTCAACGCTATCCTCCTAGATGGAAGAGAAGTAACCACATCTATCAGAATTGGAATGAAGAGTCGATGTATTTCGAGGCATACTTCGATTCTTCTAAAATTCATCAGCCATAGAATGGATGAGTTTGATGACTTTGTTCTTCCTAAACTTTTAATTGTGGTTTTTAGATTGAGTGTGCTACATAATAATTTTTAATTTACTTAAAGATAATCCTCGATATATAACTTGCAGACATTGCAATAGATTTTAGTTCCTTTTGGTTTTGGAAAAAACTTTCAATTTTATTTAAATTTTTACTAAATTTTTGTTCTTTTCCTTAACTTCCTGGACTTTCTTCTCAAACTGTGATCTATAGTTAATACTATTGGCTAAATGTAGAGGCTTAAATTTATTTAAATAAAATACTTAATCTAACTAGAGGATAAAGCCATTTTACGATGGCTCTCCATCATTATTAAATATTGGCACTGTATTTAGCATACACCCTAATACTCTGAATTTAACAATTAAACTTACTCACTATAAACAGGAGAATAATCAATTGCAATCTTCGTGTCAGCAGATTCCTTATTACGAGGTTTCATCAGAAATACATTTTTCAAGTCTAACATACAATTTAATTAAGTTTGGTAAGTAGTTTAATCTTCCATTTTCCTTTCTTATTAATTTAATTAATGATTATAATCATTGAAAATATTAAATATGATAATTCTTTCTGATATATAATACTTTCTTTTCTTGCAATCATTAAATACTAATCTCTTTTAAATGTGATAACTTTTTAGATCAAAATTATTATATTTTATTTTATTTAGATCTACTCAAAAAAATCTTATGTTTTCTAAATTGAAAAAAAATCCTTAAACAATTTTTATACATTCAATTATTGTCTTCTTTTTACATTTTCAAGTTATATTCATATTTTAAAAACAATATCATGACTCTGATATTTGATAATTATTTTGATTTATATTCTAAAGAAATTAATTTTATGGAGTTTTTTTTTAAAAAGAAATACAATATTATTATTATTATCTTTATCACAAACTTTAGATTATAGAATTTTCATTGTTTTAAATTCTATTTTTTTAGTGGAAAATTTAATTTTTAATCATTTAGATTATTAAATATATTAATTTGATTCTTTTTTAATGGAAGTGTCTTAAATTTTGTAAATTAAATAAATAGAATACTTTAAAGTTTGATATTACTTTAAGAAATGATTATTTTTATAAATAAAAATAAGATAATTATAAATATTTATTATTTATTATATTTATAAAAATATTCAATTATTAAGCATACTAATGAATAAAACCAAAAAAAATAAAGATTTTGTTGGGACCCTTAGAAGTATTCTTGAAGTACATTGATTTATAATTAAGAATGATGAATTTTAAGAGATAGTTTAATTGTTAAAGGAAAAAAATGGGTTTAAAATTAAGGATCTGGAATTATTTAAATCGGTAATTTTAATTAAATATTTTTCACATAATAATTATTCAAGTTTTAGAAGGTTTATTAATTTTATTTTCTTAGATAACTTAATTTATATGGGTTTTAATCGCATAAATCTAATAAATAAGAAATCATGTATATTAATGAATCATTCAATTTTGAAACTGATAAAAGACTGAAAAAATAGCATAAAATAAAATTATATTCTGAAAATATTGAGTAGGAATAAAAAAGATAGTTTAATTAACTTTTATAACTTTAATAAAATTAGAAGCAGATGATTGAATAGATAAAGACAATAATCAATACTTAGGAAGAAATGAAAGAAAAAATGAGATCACAATTATCTGTAAAAATTAATTAAGATTAGAATTATGTATAAAATAGGTTCATATCAGATTAAAGAGATAAATTCCTTTATCTTGCACTAACTTTATACACTAACATTGAAGATTAAAATTTTAGTACTTAATTATTTTTATTAGAATAATATGTTGATGATCTAATTGAAGAAGAAAATTCCTTTCCTTTTTTTAATTAATTAAAAAATTAATTGATAAAGAATACTAAAACCTTATTTTAGATAATAAATTTCTATTTTAATCGAGAAGGTGGCAATTAAAAGTTTGAAGATAAATCATTTAATGAATAGGATATTGAAGATAAATTAAGTTTAAGCAATCTAAGTAATTATTTTGATCTATGATTACAATGATTTATTTCTTTAGTTTAATTTGTATTAAAGTCAACAAATATCTAAATTCTTTTAAGAATATTATTTAGCTTATAGATAAAACTAGATAAATCAATTCATTTTTGTTGAAATTATTGAAGAGATGTAATAATTAACATTTCTGGAAATTCTAAAATTAGTTTTCTTTTTAGCAATATTTCAAAATAAATGTCATTATTATTATTACTCATTTTTTACATTACTTATTTCTTCCAAAAGGGGACCATTTTCATCAAAAAATTTAGCAAAAATTTCAACTTCTCCAATAAGCTTCTCATTATCTAACATAAGCAAGTCCTAAATATGGAGAATAAAATAATAGTACTTTTTCTTATTACAATTACTCTGAACATGTTTTAAAAACTGCCAATACTTCATTCATTTTTTAAATTTATTATTATTCAATATCTGTAGCTATTTTTAATCTGTCAATAAGTTAATCAACTTTTTGTGTTTTTTCAAAAAGAATAATTTATTCTTCTTCTGCATTTTTGATTTCTATTTTTAAACTTTTGTCTAAGTTTTCTAATTCATTTTACATTTTATCAACATCAAGGTCTTCAACTTAATCCTGCATTTGATTCATATATTACGATGCTTATTATACTAAAAAGTAATAAATTGAATAATACATCTTTCTTCTAATGAATTAATTTTTTGATCATATTTTTTTTAAGCATGTAACATTTTCTCTTAATAAATTTTGGCCATTGATTGTTCTTTTTGTTTTAATTCTTATAACTCTAGTTTTTTTATCTGGATGATTTGATTTAGATTATTTGGATTAGATTAAGTTGGAAATTAGGAGGAAAATATTAAAGTTGTTGTTATATGATTATCTTATTAAGAATGAAGATTTTGATCGCATTAGAAACATAGAACTATTGAGCATGTTTTGCAATTGAGAATAGCAATGTTTTGATTGCAAGATGAGCATTTTGAATAATTCATTTAATTAATGAATAAATACGAAGTATTAGGAGTAGTTGGAGAGGGTGCTTATGGAGTGGTTCTTAAATGTAAAAACAAGGAGACAAATGAGATAGGTATAAATGAAGTTTAGATGTTTTTAGTGGCGATAAAGAAGTTCAAAGAAACTGAAGAGAATGAGATAGTGAAAAAGAGCATATAAAGAGAAGTGAAGGTACTTAGATTGTTAAGACATGCTAATATAGTGGAATTAAAGGAAGCATTCAAAAGGTAGTATGATGTGGGAAGTTAATTAGAAAAGGGAGAATATATTTAGTATTTGAGTATGTGGAGCGCAATTTACTTGAAGTTCTTGAGGCATCTCCTTCAGGATTGGAAGTATTAAACATAATTATAATGATAGCCATTGTATATCAAAAGAATAATTTTTCAGTTGCTTAAAGCAATATTTTGTTGTCATCAAAATGATATTGTTCATAGAGATATAAAACCAGAAAATCTCTTGATAAGTAACAATCATTAATTGAAGCTCTGTGATTTTGGTTTTGCTAGAGTATTACATTCAATTTCATTTAATTAGTCTCTAACTGCATCAACATAAGATCTCACTGATTATGTAGCCACAAGATGGTATAGAGCACCAGAACTTTTACTTTCTTATTCAAATTATGATAAAGGAGTGGATATGTGGTACAAAATTAAATTTAATATTAGGGCAATAGGATGCCTGTTATGCGAATTGACAGATGGTAATCCTTTATTTCCAGGAGAAAATGAAATGGATCAATTATATCTCATATAGAAGATGTTAGGACCATTAACATAAAGTTAATAAGAGACATTCTCAAAGAATCCTAGATTTTTGGGTATGAAATTTCCAGAAATATCTAAACCTGAAACACTGGAATAAAGGTTATTTTATAAATATATAATTATTTTAGATATCTATGTAAATTACCAAAAAAAGCCATAAATTTTGTTAAAGGATTATTGAAAATGGAGCCTGCTGAACGGTTAACATGCAAATAAGCACTTCGTCATTAATATTTCGAAGATTTACCAGAAGCAGTTGAATTTATTAGAGAATTAGAAATGTAAAATGATTAAGAAAAAAGATAAGTAAGTGCAGGTGTTCATCGAACTGCAGCATCACCTAATACATAATAGAATGTAATTAGAACTAAAGTATTGATTCATTATATAAAATAAATAGACTAGTTTCAAAGTACCTAATTATTTGGGAAATTAGTTGAACATGCAAAATACTGCTTATAATTATAATATATAAGGGTAGCAGCAACAAGAAAAGGATGGGAAATAAATGAAGAAAGCAGTAAAAAAATAATTTAAAATTTAGTAGTCAATAGAGAAATTGATTCCTGGATTTAAAGAATAAAAATTGAATATGAATTCAGAAACAAATAAGATGAAGGTATCAGGATAATCGCAATTTAGTCAACAATAATTATAAATGTAATAATCTATAAAGATTCAAAACTTAAACATAATTTATAATTCTAATACTTACAATTAATTTTAGAAGAAGGGAGCATTAACAAAAAAATGATTGAAAATTTATATATTTCACGAATATTTAAATGATCATAATTTTGGAACTCCCCAACTACAATAATGTTCAAGGAGTAGATTATCTGAATGCATTTTAATTTTAGCAAATCCCATATCACCCCAATATGTACCCCAAGAATTTCT